GCGCTTCTCACTGAACATTATAAGAAATGGAGGGAAAACTCACAAAAGTCGATTGCAGGTGCTTACATGTGAGGAAAAAATAACATTAATATTATCTGGGGTGCCTCTTGTCAGAGCCAAATGTTTTTTAGGTCCAGAATGTACAAAAAAACACAATAAAAGTGCAGCTATGAACTTTAAATTAGCAAATAATTATCAGTAAATTAAAAAAAACAACTGTTAAATTTAAATTGTATTGTTTTTTAATTTCTTTGTACACCGGCAGACTTGCCTTGCCAAGGTATTTGATAATATCTTTTAAAGGCTCTTTCCCGCAAATACGATATTTGAATTTTAACTGCTTGTCAACAAACCCAGCTGATTGACAGAACGACCGTAGCACGCTTAAATCTGATGAACTCTCAAAATTTTGGTCACACTCGAAAGATTAAAGTTTTTACGCTAGCGTAATCGTTTGTCGATCTGGATACTAGGCTTAAGCTCGCAAACGGTATTGAAACAGACGGACAGACGGACATGGCTATATCGACTCCCCTAATGATCCTGATCAAGAATATATACTTTATGGGGTCGGAAACGTTACAAACTTCTGACCAAAATTATAATACCCTCTGCAAGGGTATAAAAATATCGAATTGAACACACCCTTCGTTCCTTTGCACGCAGTATATAAGTCGGGATTTTGTATGGGTTTTATATTTGGACAATCAATCCGACCTACCAAATTTCATAAGGATCGCCCGACTATATCCTATAGCCGCCATATAACTGATTGATCGGAAAACCAAAAAGCTTATTCGTGCAGTTCATTCAACTTAACTTTTTGTTACTAATTTTACAGCTAATATTTTGAGTGTCCCCCCTCTGGTTCTGAACACCTCTGAAACGATTTCCCATGGAGGAAACACATTTTTTTTGTGGTCTTCACTGTAATTTTTCTTCTTTTTTCCAAGATAACACTTTTGATATATTCTTATTCCTTATGGCTACGTCCAATATTTCCCTAAAATTTTGATTACATTCTAGTCTGGGGACTGTGCTGGCGTAATGACCACGTGAGGGCAGTTCCAGACAAGCCAAGTCTTCACAATTGCTGCCGAGTGTTTGGGATCGTTATCCTGGTAATACCGAAATCGATCGCCCAGTTTTTCAGCAGTTTGTAGCAGGTTTTCCTTTAAATATGTAGGTACATCTTGGCCATCCATGATTCTGTCAATAAAAACGAGGTTGCCCCACCAGAAGCTGCCAGAAAGGCCCAAACCATATGACCCGCGACATGCTTGACCGTAGCTTTTAGGTATTTGATTTCGAGCTCTGTATTAGGGATAAGGGAGCATATTCTTCTTCTGATTTTGTTTTGGGATGACGTATTATTTGCAGACGAGTCAAAATGTAAACTTTTTGTTCAGCTCGAAATTAAACACCTAAAAGTTGCGAAAATTTCAAATTAAATTAACTTTAAACTGAGCTCGCAAACGGTATAGAAACTGACGGATAGACGGACATGACTATATCAACTGATATAGTAATAGTGATCCAGAATATATATGTATGTACATATACAGTAGATGGATTCCTCCATAAAAAACGACAAAATTGAATATCCTAACAATTTTATTTTTTAATATTCTCAAGAAATATCATTTAATAAGTTATTAACACAGAAAACAAATCAAGAGTAGTATTTGAATTAAAAAATGTTTTGTTTTTCTTATATTTTAACATCATTTTCATTTCACTTTGGTTTGCTGTTTTTTTGTTATCGATCCATTGAAATATATATATATATATATATCATCATATCGGGATATTCCCAAATAAGTTATATATTTATAGTTGCATATTAACTTCATTCGCTCTCGACTTTCTCATCACTTTTTTCTCGTTTCATCTCCAAACTTTTGTCTTGTATTTTTTTTAATTTTTTAATAAATGAGTTCAGAATAATTTTAAAAATTTTGATGCTTCATTAGTAAAAGTTGTAAAGTTTGCTATTACACCTTAATTATATACACGTTTAAAATAAATCATATTCCAGTAATTCAGTCTTATGAAATAAACAGAAACTTAGGTACGTTATATTCAGCTGGAAAATCAATTAATAAGGAAACAATCGCCTAAAGGCATTTCCAATTAACTAAATAATCGAATATGGATTATTCCAGGTTTTTTTATATTTAGACTTGGCTCTTAAGTAAACGGTCTGCTTCGCTTTTGGAATTATAATTGTCTTCAATTGCGGTTTCTCTTATTGCTGTTCTTATTGTTGTTCTGTTGCTTTTTGTGTGCGTGTCCATGCGTGTTTGTAAGTGCGATTAGGTTTTTCGTCACTTCCATTTTTTCTGATTCTGATTTCATCCTGTTGCTCAAATCTCAGTTACAGTCACAGTGGGCATAGACATTAAAGTACGTACGTTTTTGTCCGTTGTTGGTTTGTTTTTATTTTCCGTTTGAAGGATTAAAATAGTTTGGAAATAATATGTTATAGTAAAATGCATACTTGTTGTTAACGGAAGCTTTTGGTTTTCCCTTCACACTTATCGATATATTGCGTGTTATGTTTGTTGACTTGGTTGTTATTCGCTTTAAATTGGAACTGTAGAAAATCTATTAAAACTATCATATTCCCATAACATTTATCTTAACTTGGTGGTACCGAAAGAACCGAAAGGTGGAAGCTGCTTCAGCCAGCAGTTACTGGATTGCCTGAACTGTAACTTTTGTCACTTTGTATGACATATAAAAGTACGGTTGAAACTCCTCTGTGTGCACACTCAACAGACAGTTTAGATGATACTCCTTCACTGCCAAAAACTCTAGTCCACATAAGAAAGTGAGTATCAGTTTAAACTAATTATTTGACCCAATTTGGTAACCGAAAAAAACTTGGGATGGGACTGTTGTAATCGGTAATCTGAGATCTGTTATCGAAACTATCGGATAAATGTGCACTCGGTGAGTTCCGTTAGATGTACGTCTCAACTTTAAGCTGTGTGGTAGGATATGTTATTCATTAGTTATTACCTTTGTATCTGAGTTTAGTTTCCCTTAGTTGCTTCATTGTTGTGTCTTTTTCATAAAAATATACGTTCGCACTGTTCTTGATGCCTGCCTGTATAGTTGTGTATGTACAAATCGTGTTCGGTTTAGGTTTTCGAACAAATCAGAAGAGTTCTGGTGAACGAAAGATTGAATTCATATTACGTGGTGCGGGACCAGTTGGGTGGCACTATATCTTAAGTAGTTGGTCCAAAAAGGTCCTCTTCGAAAACCCTAATACATATATAGTAAGTGAAACATGGAACTAGTTTTGTTTCGGTCCTAGGACTTAAGTTCTCGGCTACTGGTTCAAGGAGTGCAGGGTGCAATGATTTGGCACTCGAAATTTAACGGATCAACTAAATGAAATCGAACGAAATCAGTCAAAAACAAACTATTGAATGTCTTAGACGGTACGGTTGTATATAAATAGTGTTTCTCTGTTGCGGGGCTAGATTAGAAGCTAGCCCTAGGTTATTGAGTTCTTGTTGCAATCTTTGATATTCGCTATTCGGGTTCTTTCCTGTACAAAGTCGTGAAGTACAAAAGGAATAAATTATCATAAGTATTATTATTATTAAAAAGGTTGATTTTGCTTTAACTTGCCATATACTTGTAATTTAGCTAAATAGTTATGCATGGTTTGCTTGTACATAGTATATAAAGTGGAAAAAAGTATGCTTGTACATAAAAGTTTTCATTATCATATTTGCTTTTGGTTTAAGTTATCATTGTGTTTATACATATTTGTAGTTATGCTTGCTTTGGTTTTATTCTTGGTTTAAGTTTGAATAGTTCAATAAATATTTGGTATTCTTTGGTATTTGTCTATATGGTAATTTTTTAAATATATATGCGTACTTGTATAATTTTTGCTTGGTATTCCATTAGTAAAATGAATTGTATTACAACGAATGCGAAATGCCGCTTAAAAATGAGTTTTAGCTTAGCGCGAGCTTCTAGAATAAAAAACAAATATCATTCCGATAGAGTGAGTGAGACGGGATGGCCGTAGGCAGAGCGTACTGTACAACCTCACGGCCAAGCCCCGCATAAAATGCATAGCATAAATAGGTAAACAACAATAGAATCATAGGTACATAAGGTTCTTGTTTTAGATCGTCAGGTGAGGGTCCCTGTGTGTGAGCAGATCCCTGCAAAGATCGTCTTGGTTCAGAGGGTCTATATAATTTGGGGTTACTAAAAGTCTCCTCTGATCTGCTCCGGGGATCTCTTCACAAGTCTAGGGTTTTCCGTTTGTCTCTTGTGTATGTGTATGTGGGTCTGGGTGTGGGTGTGAGTGTGGGGGTGATGGTGCCTAAAATGTACAGTTGTGCACGGTACCACCCCGACACCCACCTCACTGCCGGATATATCTGCCTTCCCTCAGAAATATGCTCAGGTGTTGTGTTATGGTGTCTGCCCTTCCGATTCCTGTGCTAAAAGCCGATTGACCAACGTCACCCAAAACGCCCGCCAATCGGAGTTTAGCACAATCGTCTATCGGTTATTGGTTATCTGCTGCGTGGTTTCGCTTATCGTCTATCGCTAATCGGTCGGTTTGCATCAGGGCTTGGTTCGGGTATTTGGAATTCGGCAACTTTGCACTGTAACTCTTTGCTGAACTAATAACCCATCGCTATATATGTAAATATATATTTTCTTGTATAATCAATATATATGTGTATATTATGTTTTGTATATGGTTTATGGTATAGGTGTATAATGCTGACCTCGCTGGGGGCCGGGCGGAGTGCAGTGAACAGTGACTCCGCCTCCCCAGGCACATGCCTTGTATACGGTATGCCTCTGCAAATCGGTAACGACACACTCCGCCATATGGTTAAACTTAACATCTCTAATCGTATTTACAAGTGAGTGAGCTGCACCCGGCAGGCCGGATCCAGGGAATTCGTCCTGGCCCCGATCGCTATCGCCATCGCCTGCTCTCGAGATCGAATGTGAGCCGATGTGAGTTGGTTGTTGCACTGTTGCTCGTTGATGGAGCATCACTCGGGAATCAGCGGGGAGGTCGGTGTTGGGAACGGACTGGGGTCTATGCAGATGGTGCTCGCTTAGTCCTCCCACGAGGGAAACTGGCCTTCGTCCACGAACATGCTGAACTGGCCGGTATACTGGCGCTCCATGGGCGGACCGCTGCCCGATCCCTTTGTCTGGCCGGAGATCGGGGGAGGTGGAACTGGTCGGTTGGGGCCCGCGGTGCTTCTGCCCGATGGCTTCTCCGCCCCACTGGCCTGGCCGCCACTCCTCGAGCTGCCCTGTGCCGACGAGGTGGACGACGCGGTCTTTCCGTAGTTGTAGCGTTGCTCTGATGGACACAACCAAATAGTTAGCATTAGGAAAATAAGGATTTGCTAGCATCTATGTTAGGACAAAACTGGTATTATGACTTTCAATCTAAAACTTTGATAAGCTTTAAATTTGACTGAACTTTTAATAACTACAAAGTAAGTTCGTTTCCGCAAGCCAAAGTTTATATACCCTTAAAGCTATTCGAAAATTAAAATATTCCATGAAACAACTGATGTTCTGTTGTTATGCGATTATGTTTAAAAACAATGAAGCTATGTCGATTTACCCATAAATTAATCGAATTATTTACTACCTGCAGTAGAAAGACGGACGGACGGAGAGACAGACATAACTGTCCTGGTGATTCTGATTAAAAATGTATTCACGGAAAAGTCTACTCCAATGCGTTGCAATATATGGACAGACATTTGAATAGCCTGTAAAAACCAGGAGGAACGAGTTTCTCGACTTTTTGAATTCTGTTACACTTACGCCATCAATTCTATTCGCGCAGTAAACCGAAAAGTTGCAAGCATCATCTATTGCAAAAAATATACATGAAGGCATATTTGACCACTTGCATAACGTCACTCAATGATTGAACTTAATTTCTTAATATGGTATATCCTAAAATAATCATAAGTCTTTGAATTTTTGACGCGTCGATATATATAGAGCAAATAATGATATACCGACCAATAACTAGTCTGTACCATGTTAGTGTTTCGCGATTTGTGGGCGGTAGAGTGGACATCGTCAAATTTCGCAATAAACTTGCGCTGCCTGTGCCTAACTAGAATCTGCATTTAAACCTACAGTTCTTATAGTTTTCGAGATCTCGACGTCCATACGGACAGACAGACGGACATGCCAAGATCGATTTTGATACTGATACTGATCAGGAATACACCTAATGCTTTACAGGGAGGGAAAAGCTTTAATTTTTATGTTTCATACTTTTTAACGAATACTATATGAGTAACGGGAGTGAAAATTAACAATCCGCCAGTTGGTTAGACTGCAATGTATGCGTAAAGTTACATTTCTATATCTATATTGGTTGAATATTTCTTGAGAAAAGGGCAATCTATCATTTTTTTCCCCCGGGGTGGGAGCTCTGCTTATGAATCGTTACAATACATGCAAAAGAATCCACTTACTCGACGTCTGTTTCACCTCCTTGCTGGCCCAAACGGGCTCGTGGGTCTGGTTGTACGATTGCTGATCCCACACGGCCTTCTCCTCGACGTTTTTGCTCTGCATGGAAGGAGGATGGATGGGCTTAGGCTAAGAGGGATGACACAGTCAATGGGAACACTCACGTAGTCGACATGCAGCTCCAGGTCGTCGCTGGTCTGCTCCAGGCTGCTGTGCGTGATGCCATAGTAGAAGTACATGACGAATCCCAGGGACATCCACACCGTGAAGCGGACCAGCGTGAGGATGCTCAGCTTGAATATCAGGTAGATGTTCACGGTGATGGCGATGGCCGGGATGAAGGGGAGTCCGGGCGTGAGGAAGGCCAGCGCATACCTGGACGAGATCGGAGGACGATAGATGGGAAGATGGGTTAGCTGGGGCTGGTGAACGGGAACGGGTGGCGGCGGCGTGGAATTACCTATTCTGCGGCTGTCTCGATATAATCAATAGTATCACAAATATGCCGATAAACAAAATGAAATAAATGAAGGCGGCGAGGCCACCGGACCAGCCAATGGCCGCGAACAGGTCCAGGAAGAATATGAGACCGAACATGATGCCCACTAGCTTGGTGACGTACATGCCTGGTGGGTCGATGTCGATGTCGATGGATCGGTGGATCGGTGGATCGGTGGTGCGTCGGTGGTGGATCGGATAGGATTGGATTGGAAAAGCATAAGCAAAGAGTCAATTTCAATTGCAATTTTGTTGTGAATAGGCGCAGATATAGTTTTGGGTAAACATTGCTCCCTTTCAGCGGGTGAATAAAGTTGAGCTACTCGCTGTCTATGTTTTCTTAATTGGATGCTTGTTCTGGTAATGTCAACTCTTAAACTATACCTAAGAAAATACAAAATTAAAAATGTGAATAGGTTAATTGATTCCTATTATAGAAAAGAACCTTCAGTAGATGGAAAGCACATTTGTCAATTAATTAAAGGCAAGATGTTAGGGAAATGCAAATACCAGAATACCAGAACGGATTTATTAAAGCGTCGTTGCTCTTCGTGAAAAGTTATTATAAGCTAAATCGAAATAATGAAAAATTTAGTAGACTCAATTTATTATTAGTTACCTTATACTAATAATACTTATATTACACAATGAAAAATACCATAAACTCTAATTTATACGACGAAACCGTGCATGGGTTGAATTTTAACAATGTAGACGTAAGATAGTCGAGCAGCCCAATGAATCCAAATGTAAGCAAACATTTGTTTTTGTCAACCTTTTTTCTTTTCTCTAAAAATATGGTTAACATTAAATTTCGGATTTTCTGTAGCATTCGTCTATTATAATATTTATTAGAGGCTTTTATCACCAACCCTATTAAGTGGGTGTAGTCGCGATTAAAGTCTCCAGACAAGGCTTTGTTAGCCTGAATTTCTGACAACCCGACTACCCAACATTTATGTTAAACCTAAGTTCTGGACTCTGGGTGATTTGTCTGAACTGTGAAATCCAGTTGAGGTAACTGGAGCTATTAACTAAAAGTGTTTGCCGGAACCAATACCTATATGAAATTAAATGTTTCCCGGAACTCGGAAGCACTCGCAGAGCAAACAAGCTACTTTGCCCACCCACTGAGCAGCACAATCGACCCAAGACTACCGGTGACTCTACGGCTACGGCTGCGGAACTTACCACTCTCGGCGGTGGCCTGGCCGGGATTTATCCAGGGGAAGAAGCCGGGGCACAGGTACGCGTAGTCGTGGATCTTCCGGGTGACGAAGTTCAGGCCCATGGCGTCGAAGGCGGTCGCCTGGCCGGTGGGTCCGGTGGGGGCGCCGTGCACACTGCCGTAGAACTTGTTCTCGGAGCGGTCGGACACGAGGAACTGGTCGTCGCGCCCGCCCAGGAACCCCTCGGGGCTGTCGTCGATGAAGGAGTCGTCCGAGTCGGACATGCCGCGCGTGACGCGCTTGATGGTCAGCTTGCCGGGCACCTCCAGGACCTCGGCGGGCGTGACGTGGGAGCGGGAGTCGCTGGCCGTCCCGGGCGCCACCGGGGTGCGCAGCTGGGCCGGCAGCAGCTCCACCAGCGAGGTGCTGTGCGGCTGGTAGCGCAGCACCAGGACGCAGGTGGACACCAGCGTGTAGGCCAGCAGCGTGCCGATGGACATCATCTCGACGAGGATCTCCAGGCGCACGGTGAGGGCCACCAGGGCGGCGGCCAGTCCGCTGCCGATGGTCGCCAGTCCGGGCACGTTGGTGCGGTGCCACAGCTGCGACAGTTGCCTGGAGGGGATTGCATTGTGATTGGAAGGTGTGGTGGGAAATTGGCTAAAACAGAAGGGGCTCACTGCGGCCACTCACCTGAAGATCAGCCCGTCCTGGGCCATCGCATAGATGACGCGCGGCATGGGGAACATCGAGCCGAACATGGCCACCGAGAGTCCGGCGGTGGCTCCGATGGCCACCACCGCCCGACACTTCGGGGCGTTCACGTACGACCACATCTGGACCAGCGCCGCTCCCGTGTTGATGTGATCGTAGGGAACTGCGGAGTGAGGATTGAGGATTGGGAGAGCATTGCATTAGTGCAGTCCCCAAAAATGTATTTTAAATTCCAGGCCAGTGCTAAGGGGCTTTTCATATATTAGGCAATCATTTTTATCTTGGTCTTTTAATTTATTCTGATCGGACTATCTTATCTATCTATATTTGAATTAACAGCCCCCTCCTAAAGTTGTACCCAATTATAGTTATTGTTTAAATAGTATTTTAAAAGTTTTAATAGTTTCAAGGTGGCAAGAAGCAAAGAAGTAGATGAGAGCCCATCATAGCACCGAAAGCGGTCTTCAAAAACGTAGCATAAAAGTTTTTGTTTTAAATTAAGTCCCAAAAGAAGGGTTCATCCCCCACGAATATGGAGATATGTCACATAGGTAGGAGATATGTTTTAGGTCGAGTCGGGTAATCGGTTGGATGGTACTCACCCACTAATGTGAGGACTAGACTAACGCTAACGTAGGCGATCAGCACGACGACCAGGGATCCGACGATCGCCTTCGGGATGCTCTTCTGCGGATTGTGTGCCTCCTCGCCGGTTGTCGCGATGATGTCGAAACCGATGAAGGCGTAGAAACAGGTGGCAGCACCCGAAAACACCTGTGGTTCGAAACAGTCGGAAATGATAATACCCAGTTGTGTTTTCGACAAGGCGTGGTTGGTACTCACTCCACTCCAGCCGTAGGGCAGGAATCCCTGGTGCTCGGACCACGTCTTCGTGTCCACGTAGAACAGCCCGGCGGCCATCACGAACACAAACGTGGCCAGGTTCACGGCGTTGAGGGAGTGGTTGAAGATGACCGACTTGCTGGCACCCATCGCCAGGACGCAGGTCATGAGCAGCGTGATGCCGAATGCAATGAAGTCCGGTGGCTTGCCTTCAGATAAAGGATACACAGGACGTTGAGTCGGGGAGGAGCCGCAGCCGAACCGCACTACTCACCGAATATCGTGCCGATGGACTCGCTTATCGTTCGCGCAATGGCATTGCCGGTCAGGGAATCGAAACTCGAACTTAACGCACAGGCACAGGCACTTGTTCCTGTCGGAGTCGGAGATCAAAGTTAAGAGTTCAGAGGTCAGAGTTCAAAGGCGCCCACTCACCTATTAGATATTCCAATATCATGTTCCAACCAATTATAAAAGCTACGAACTCTCCAACTGCCACATATGAATACATATAGGCCGAGCCGGATGTGTGTGGCACACGAACGCCAAACTCCGCATAGCAGGCGCCTGTGGATCATCAGATCGGATGGGTTTGTCAGATTGGATTGGACCACAAGGACTGGGAGGGGGCCAACTGAGTGAATGGAACTGTTCCCGAAAGTGGCATTGTCTAGTGGGCCACTTCTGAAGGATTTTTATCACTTTTAACAAAACCATTATTGTATGAAGCATTTAGCTCTTGAAAACACAATCAAACTTATATAAGCCGGAACTGCAGGCTTCTGGATTACAGAAAATAAAAACCATACTATTTCGTTAATTAGTTTTGTGGAATTTAAGTCTTGTTCGCATTTCCTAGTCAATGAAAATGCAAATCCGAATTCAACAATCCGTATAAATTCATTAATAAACGACAACCATTGGCTTAATATTTGAATTGCTACACTTGACTCTGAATAATTTAGAGGTATGTTTATTCTACTGAGCATAATAATATATGTTGTCCATCAAATGCAACTAACTTTGGATCGTCTGCTCCAACCAGAGCATCAACTGCCATGACATAATTTACAATTGTTCTCCTTTCGCTTAGGCAAAGTACTCAGTTGGCCCAATCAATCAGCTGAAGGACGAGGGGCTCGGTTACCTGAGAAAATACTCGCTATGGCGGCTATAATAAAACTAATAACCACTCCGGGCCCGGCTATCTTCTGGGCCACCATGCCGGCCACCAGGTACATGCCCGTGCCGCAGCAGGATCCGATGCCCAGCGAGGTCAGGTCCAGCGTGTTGAGACATTTCTGTGGGCAGATGGGAATCGGGGTCAGGGAAATCTTGAAGGACGAGTCCCTCGACCGGCTCACCGTTAGCTTGGGCTTCTGTGGCTGCGCGTTGCCGTCCTGCAGCTGCTTCACGTCCTTGGTGCGGATGAGCTTGGGCAGGAGCGTCGTCGAGCTGACTCCCGGCGGCATGGGCACCCTGAACTTGACCTGAAATCGGAGCCAGAGTGCAATTAATTGGAGGACCATCGCTCGAGCAGCTGCTATTGAAAGATGAGAGCCACCATCCCCATCCACCCGCGAGAGGCGAGTGCTCTCCACTGATAACTGATGTCAGAGCAAAATGGCAGGAGCCTGGCAAGGACATGGCAATCGATATTCGCAACAAGTCCTGCCTGCTCTTGCAACGAGCTTTTAAACACTCAACCAAAAAAAAACTCACATAACTTAGGGGTTCGATCTCATAGCTTCCAAAGGAAAAAATTATATCTCGTTGCATTCGTCATTTTGTAAAATTTTAAAAGTAAGAATAAAACTGCTATAAGAACGATTAAAAAATCAACATAGAGTTATTGTTTTTAAATATATACGTAACTTCGGCTTGCCAAACATTGGTTCATTCCTGTTTTTTTTTCGAAATAAAAATACAATTATATAACATTTTGGCGATAGTAACAACCGAAAAATATTTCAAACAAGAAAGGAAAGCTAACTTCGGGCGGAGCCGAAGTTGAAATACCCTTGCAGAATATTCTGCAAATTATATTCTCCAAAATTATTCATATGATGCATTTTTAATACTCATAAAAAATCCCACCTTCCTAACTTTAAAAACACCAAAGTTATTTCATTTCCGATCAATCAGTTATATGGCAGCTATAGGATATAGTCGGCCGATCCTTATGAAATTTAATATGTCGAACTGATTGGGCAAAAATAAAACCCATAGAAAATCCCAACTTCCTAACTTTACAAACACCAAAGTTATGGCATTTCCGATCAATCAGTTATATGGCAGCTATAAGATATAGTCGGCCGATCCTTATGAAATTTGGTAGGTCGGATTGATTGGCCAAATATAAAACCCATAGAAAATTCCAACTTTCTAACTTTACAAACACCAAAGTTATGGCATTTCCGATCAATCAGTTATATGGCAGCTATAAGATATAGTCGGCCGATCCTTATGAAATTTGGTACGTCGGATTGATTGGCCAAATATAGAACCCACAGAAAGTCCCAACTTCCTAACTTAACAAACAGCAGAGTTATGGCATTTCCGATCAATCAGTTATATGACAGCTATAGGATATAGTCGGCCGATCCCGGCCGTTCCGACTTATATACTGCGTGCAAAGGAAAGAAGGGTGTGTGCAAAGTTTCAACTCGATAGCTTTAAAACTGAGAGACTAGTTTGCGTAGAAACAGACAGACGGACAGACGGACAGACGGACAGACGGACAGACGGACAGACGGACATGGCTATATCAACTCAGGAGGTGATCCTGATCAAGAATATATATACTTTATAGGGTCGGAGATGTCTCCTTCACTGCGTTGCACACTTTTGACCAAAATTATAATACCCTCTGCAAGGGTATAAAAACATTGTTTTTGTGATAAATAATTTTACTTTTTGCTGGGGGTTATAACAAGTAAATACTTGGAACTTTCATAACTCAACTTTCTTTTCTACTTTTTTAATTCTGATAAACCATATTAATTTTAAATTTGTGAGTCAAAAAGGCTATTTACGTTTTTATGAATAACAAAACTCTTTCTGCTTTATTTATAATAAAATATTTTTTATTTATTTTTTTAAAAAAGTTCGACGATTAAAATTGTATTTGTTTTCAATCTTGTTTTAAAAATAAGGACTTGAAAAGTAAAAATTTGATGCCTTTTCTAATGGCTACGGCAATAAGTGGCATAGTTTCGAGGAAATAAGGCTTTTTATAGCCTTAAAGGAGGGAATACAAATTTCGCTCATAAGTTTGGTGACCCTTAATCAGATTCAGCATGTTTGTTTGAACGAAAAACATTATTTTCAAAAAAAAATAGCTTTCGTGGGACTTAAACACATACGCATTCAAAATATAGTCGTTTAATACGGCATCAAAAAACATTTACATCTTTTTAAATATCGGACGACCATGAAACATATAGCTTTAGAAAATATATAACATTCATACATTTACATAACTTCGTTGTTTTTAAACATATATATCTCGATATATATTCGTCAGGTTTTAGTAATTTGTTTTTAATTGAACAAAAGCTGCCATGAAACCAATCGGTCAACTTGTATGGAAATCTTCAAGAATTGGATAAATTTCGTTGTTTTAAAATAATTATTCTTATAAAACAAAATATATTAACTTTTTTTTTAAATTAATGAAAATCGGACGACCCTATCATATATTGATAACAAATTGATTAAACCAAAAAAAAAACATTTTTCTTTAGTGTTTGTTTGATTGTTTTTCAATAAGTTTCCATTATTTCACTTAATTTAACCTTTAATGCAATTGAGCTGGGAATCTGGCTGCCGTTTCAAACTCCTGCAAATGCTCCCCACCACGGATTCCTGCTCTCTGCATCCTTTTCAGGAAATGGCTCTCAAGGAGGACCTCGGTGCACTCATTTCAGGAAGAGCCTTTGATGTCAGCTGCAGCGGCCGACATCATTTGCTCCCCAGCTAAATGGCATGTCAGCGGGTAGGCGGTCGACCGCAGATGCCTCCTATCTCTCCACGAGAATCCCTATCTGTGTCTCCCTGTGGTGGCGGTGCACAAAGTGGATGCGTGGGCGCCCTGGCTCAGTTCCGGGAAACGATCCCCAACCACGACAACGGGCCAGTCCTTGAAGCAATCAAAGCAACCGAGCCGAGTCCCAGTCCGAACCCCATCCCGTCCATCCCATATGCGGTTTTGTCCTTCGACTCGCCAACGCTCCACCCTTGGTATTCCAATGAGTACCATGCTACCCCATACCCTATATCCTTGCAGAGGGCATTTCGGTTCTGTTTCAAAGTTTGTAATGCAAGCTCAGTCAGGCTGGCTTTCATAGCATGTCCTTGTAAACAGACCTGTTGAAAACACACTTCTAAAAAACTTCAAATATATCACAATATTTAGTGAATTAACCTTCAAATCCGTATTTTAAGAACCTCTTTACTAGATTTCACAAACATTTTTAGCAGGATCATCGACTTATTCTATAAAATAAAAGTAAGAAGAGTGCACTAGTTACCCAAAATCTGAACGAGTTTATAATTTTAGTAATCCCACAATACTGTGTTCAGTGCAATATTTAAGCAAGCTTGAATAAGGTGATGTAACATTTTCTTGACGATTGAAAGACAAATACATACATAATATGTACTACATATGTCATTAGAAACGTTATTAGCTCACTGATTAAAAAACTTAAATTAAATAAACTTAGCTATACAGCCAATATTTAATCCTCATTTTTTTCGTTAAGTAGAAAGTAATACAGTAAATCTATAAATGTGGGTTCTAAGCTGTAAGGGTGTTTTTTGCTTCGGCTCCTTCTACAGACCCAGTTCCCAGTGCTCTTTATTTGTTCTATTTTTTCTACAATTTGGCGTTATTAATGGCTCGCAAGTGTCAGGGGATGAGCCGCAACTGCAGTGTCAGCAGCCAGCAGCACAAAAGGTCAGCCCGCCAAGAAGGGGACGCACTTCCTGGGGGACGATAATCCCGCGGGGTCGCAGGCTTGCCCTGTTTGCCAGATAAGCCAAGTGCGAGTGAAGGGGGCATCTTCAAACATAAAATAAATTTACTTCTAAAAGAAATTCTGCACAGACAGAAATATTTCCAAATAAATAGGTTGACCCAGCGAAAACGACATGGTAAAATTAAACACGTTCATATTTACATAATGTTGTGTATAAATAAATAAGTGTATTACATATGAACATAAAACATGTTATTCGAGGTATAATAATATTTGAATGGTAAGCCTGATGAAAAATGAAAAAATATAACTAATTTTGTACATTTTTTGTTTATTTTAAATATATTAACTTTGAATTAAAGTCGTTTATTTTTAAAAACGTTTTAATAATATATAAACAAAAATACTAAATAAAAGTCTCAGTTTTTAAAACGAGTTCAAAACTATTTATTGAATTCTGTTTTAAGCTTAATTATGAAGAAATTAGAAAATATAAATTTATAATTGGTTTAATCTATATATTCTCTATCTGCCATAATTTATTCCAATTACATATTTAACGGACAAATTGTAAATTACTACACGTTTCAATAAGACAAGCAAAGACTAAACTGTTTTTTGGGAACAGCTAGCAATATCACTTTTGTACACGAACACCGGTACATTCCACCCTTTTGTTATCAGTGTGTCAGTATAGCATACTTTTCGGGCGGCTAAGCTCGTCTTGCAGCCAGCCACACACTGCGTATGAGCGATATTGTCATAACAAAGCTCCTCCGCCTGTGGCCATCCCGCTCGCACCTAATCCTGGCCCGAAAACACATGCTTCTGGGAGTGGAATTTCGGGCTGGGTGGAACTGGGGACTTGGTCTAGAGACGAGCGGCTCCAATTACAGCTGCGGCTGTAAAGGGCCAGCGCAACAGAAGTTGCGATAAAGATAACGCCGAGCCAAAAGTGGGCCCCCTTTCGTGGCCATCCCTTTTGTACTGGTGCTTGTGTTTGTGTGTGGGTGAGTATATATATATATGTATATATTTTTTTGGATTTTTTGTTGTTTTTATGCTTTGGCATTGAAGCTTGGTGTAAGTGTATTCGTACTTGCCACGTCTATGCTCGTTCGCCGATGACTTGCTCGTCCGAGTGCTTGTGTGGGTGAGTCGGTGAGTGGGTGAGTGGGTGGCGAGCTTCTTCGTTGTCAAATGGATTTGCATAAGTCCACGCCACACCACACCACTCCACACGCACACACATGCCTTCGCCTGTGTGGCTGTGTAAGTGTGTAACTGTGTGCGTCGGCGTTCGGCATCATAATGACCTTTTTGAGGCATACCATTACAACGGAGCCCCATTAACACACGCACGCTGTGTGTGTGAGTGGACGTGGATGTGGATGTGGGTGAGGAGGCTCCAATTTTAGCAGTGACCAAAACTCTGTGTCAGATTCAGTGGAGAAATAAAAATACACTTTTCAGCCTACTCTAGGGAGGGGGTAGGGGGCTTTGTTTGTTTTTGCTTTCTTTTGGTCTTTTTTCGGTTTTTGTCGCTTACCTTCTCTAGCACCAACAACAAATCCGACGGCTTCATTTTGCTTTGTATCTGCCCTCAACAGTTATTACCAAAAAGGACAGCACTCTTTTGGGGCAGCAGGGGAAGATTGGTGGAGGTGGGTGTCCTGTGTTGCGGAGAAAGCGGCGATTGTTGCACTTGAATGAGCTGGCTTTGCGAAAGGGTCCTTCTAGTGCTAGTGCTTTTTCTCGCTCGCTCGCTCTTTTTATCCTTATCTTTATCTCTATCTGAGGGAGCGACGCAGGCTGGGGATCCTGGCTGTTGTTACCGTTACAACTGCTGTTGCTTCTTTGTGCTTTACATTGATTTTTGTCAGCAGCGTCATTCTATATTCAACAGTTTACGCCAAAAGGATCCGCGCCCGTTGATTCTGATTCCGATTCTGTTTCTGGTTCTGATTCTGTTTCTGTCGCACGCTCGTATTCAATTTTCACTTTCGGTTTTTCGCCAGCACTGTCACTTTCTCTATCTCTATCTCTATCCCAAGCGCTCCTGTTGTTGCGCGCCTTCGCCTTCACGTGGCCCCAAACACACACGCACACTCACGCACACACACAGGACACTCGTGTGTGTATATACTCCTATATCCTTATCCTTTCACCGTTGCACGCACAGGAACACAGAGCACAGCACACAAACAAAAAGTCAAATGGCAACGTCTTCTCAGAAACTTGCAGCTAACATAAATGTGAATTATCCTGTCCTGGTCACCGATTCTTGGCCACGTTTATTCTCGCAGGCGGTCGCGACGCGCTTCTCGCCTCGGTATTCGGTGAATGAATGCCAGCGATTTTTCCGTGTGTATCACTTTTTTGTGAAAAGCGAAGCGAGTAGTGTGGCCTTTCCTCTCCGTGGCTCCTTCTGCAGGAGCTTTCGTCCTACAGCATTACATGCGTGCGATGCGGCGAATGGCGAACGACAAACGGCGAAGTTGGCAGGGCGAATAAGAGTGCGGTGATCTGGCAACGCCAACGACAACGGCCGCGAACAGGAAGTTTCCTGTATCTATAACAGAGTTGTCCTTCCAAAGCTACAAGTTACCGTTACCCGACTTTCCTTTTCGGTTTCGATTTCACTCTTTCCTCTCACACACGCACTCACACAAGGACACCCTCGCTCTCAGGCTAGCTACCCCACACGCACGAAAGTAGGCAACGGAAAGTGCAAGCAGCCAGAGCGCAGACTCAGCCCCCTCTCCTCCCCGCGCTCATTGGTCACCGTCATCGCATGTGTGTGTGTATGGGGGAGAGACGCTCAAGGATATGCAAATACACATGCTCCCCAGAGGCGCCGCGCCGCTTTCATCGGAATTGTGTAACGGGACGGGCAGCATATGTGTGCGCACCTGTTAACTGCTGTTTGCCGTTTGCTGTTACACACCTGCCTGACACCCACCACAATCCGCCAACCCCCACCACCCCCGCTTGTGGCCTTTAGCCATCGGTGCCGCCCGAATACCATCGCAGTTAAAGCTGCCCAAAGCTCGCCCATCAAAAGGGATAATCGCGCGATTCTGCCACTAGATGGCGCCCTTATCTGAAGGACTTTGGGATCCGAGGATTTGCACTTGCGAGGCACGCTACAGTAAACTGTCTTATGCAGGATGCTCGCCGCCTTTAAAACGGATTCCTATACTTTTGGCTATAATAAACCATAGAGCTTTGAACTCTATACAACAAGAAAATTCAAATATAAACTGCAAAAAGGTGAATATCGATATATTAAAACATTTCAATTCAATATTAAAATATCGACTTGTATTTTATCATCAAGAATTTGCATAAGAAATTTGCTAGAGAAAGTAGAGAAATACTTCAATTTGTTTCGAAATCCGCTTACTTTAGCGTTGCTTTAAAAATTGCCTTCATAGAACACATCATTTGATTTAGTATAATAGAAAAAAGAGCAACAAATATTTATTAGGACTTCTAATTTTTTGAACAGAAACAAGTATTCATATTTATACATTTGTTTAATGGTCATGGAACAAACGTTGTAATACAATTCAAAGATATAGACAACTTTTTGGTATCTCGGGGTAGTTAGTTTAAGTGGTATTCAAAATGTGTATAATTTTGTTAATCAAAAAACGAGAATGGCAGTTATTTTTAGCAAAAGCACAGCATTTATATAGCTGCTTTTCTACTTTGAAGAAGAGTATTTGTCTAATAACTTACATGTAAATTCTATATAACATACATACATTGACAGTCATGCGATTTATTCAAACGGTCCTCACCAATTCCTACAATTATATCCCAAAAGATGTATGTATACGCGCTTGATGCTGTTTGTAGAAAGGGGCGTGGCAGAAGTTTAAAATAGACATCCGAAGATCTAAATTCTCTAGATCTTAAAGTTTCCGAAACTTAAGGGACTAAATTTTGTTTCAACAAAGGAATTTAATTTAAGTTTCCTGAATCTAGGACAATCACATTTTTTTGGGGTCTTAAATATTTGAAAAATGTTTCGTAACATTCGCATCCGTTTATCTTTGTATACGGGTAGGACTTTAATAGTGTGCAACGTTACAAATTGAGTTCCAAGAACAATACCCAAGGCATATGTAAAACAGTATGTTCTACCCCCAATGGCATTGCCAAGAATCCGTTGCCGACTCATGCTCATCTATGTAGTCGAATGTCTGAATATTTAAGTATATGAATATCTGTATCTCAGGCCGTTGCGCAGAGTGCAAGTATCTCAGTATCTTTGCGCTTTATAGCTATTGGTTTTTGGTCGTTTGTTGGCTGCCGCTTTCCTTTCCGTTTTGAAACAAAAATGAGTACAAAGGTTATTTTTAGAACTAAAATTTTCTTGATTTTTACTCGTTAACATTGCTTACGCTCCGTTCTGTAGTTGCTGTCCGTCCGATCCCACCCCCGCCCTCTCCCCGCTCCCCATGCTCTAAATTTCCTCCGCTGGCGTCACGATCGTATAATCTGTACGTCTGTATGTGCATCCGAATCGTTATGGTATGCCTGTATCTGTATCTGTTTCTGAATTCGAATCTGTTTCTTTTTTTGGGTCCGATCTTTACCGAGGACTGTAAGATCTTTCCTCCCCCAACGGCAACTTAAGTAACATTAGTTTCGATAGTTTCAGCCCTGCAACACACATATCATATATATGTAGAAACATGTGTGTACACTCGGAATAAAATAAAACAAGAAAGGAAAGCTAACTTCGGGCGGAGCCGAAGTTGATATACCCTTGCAGAATACTCTGTAAATTATATTCCCCAAATTTATTCATATGATGCATTCTTAATACTCATAAAAAATCCCAACTTCCTAACTTTAAAAACACCAAAGTTATGGCATTTCCAATCGTTCAGTTATATAGCAGCTATAGGATATAGTCGGCCGATCCTTATGAAGTTCGGTAGGTCGGATTGATTGGCCAAAAATAAAACCCATAGAAAATCCCAACTTCCTAACTTTACAAACACCAAAGTTATGGCATTTCCGATTAATCATTTATATGGCAGCTATAGGATATAGTCGGCCGATCCTTTTAAAATTTGGTACGTCAAATTGATTGGCCAAATGTAAAACCCATAGAAAATCCCAACTTCCTAACTTTACAAACACCAAAGTTGTGGCATTTCCGATCGTTCAGTTATATGGCAGCTATAGGATATAGTCGGCCGATCCTTATAAAATTTGGTACGTCAAATTGATTGGCCAAATGTAAAACCCATAGAAAATCCCAACTTTCTAACTTTAAAAACACCAAAGTTATGGCATTTCCGATCGTTCAGTTATATGGCAGCTATCGGATATAGTCGGCCGATCCCGGCCGTTCCGACTTATATACTGCGTGCAAAGGAAAGAAGGGTGTGTGCAAAGTTTCAATTCGATATCTTTAAAACTGAGAGACTAGTTCGCGTAGAAACAGACAGACGGACAGACAGACGGACAGACGGACAGACGGACAGACGGACAGACGGACAGACGGACAGACGGACAGACGGACAGACGGACATGGCTATATCAACTCAGGAGGTGATCCTGATCAAGAATATATATACTTTATAGGGTCGGAGATGTCTCCTTCACTGCGTTGCACACTTTTGACCAAAATTATAATACCCTCTGCAAGGGTATAAAAATTCAGTAGACCATGGATTGATGTTTAGTAATCAGAGAAAATATAATTGGAAATTATAAAGAGTGAATTTCAACGATCATGCCACAATATCTTCGACAGTATTTTTACTTTTTATCCAAATTAACTGAATTTTTATATTATGCTTAACGGAAAAACTAAAAAAAAAATTATGTAAAAATAAAGTTTAAGTTGCGCTAAAAATTGAATATTTTTGTATATATACATATATATTTTGTGTTTACTAAAAAATGTTATTTTAAACATGAAATATTTTTGATTGCATGTATTTAGACTATAAATTGCAAGTAACCCCTCGAGGTACCTATTGCTTAAGAAAATGAAAAATAACGACCATTAGACCAAAGTATAAACAGCTCGGCCAGGGTTACAAATAATTATTTTTTAACTTAAACTAAAGGGCATTAAAGCGAGAGTAAATTAGCAATCTATTAAATACCGGAAAAAATTGGTTTATTCATAACCTGCTAGATGTACATGGGACGCGGATGGTTGATTTTGTTAAGTGTTTGCATGGACTGACAGATGTTCGGATGAGTGAGTGCATGTGGCCGATTTACATGGGATTGGATGCGATGCTTTTACACAGTACAACAGCAGCAGCAGCAAGAAGATCTCCTCTCAAGATCTGCCGGGAACGTTTAACGAACGTTTTTTGCCAATGACAGCAGCAACGAGAGTACCTAAGATTTATAGTTGCTATTTTTAAAGCGGCGTATCGAGGACCGTAGGCTAGGGCCAGAAACAGTATGCTACCACGGGTCCGAACCGATGCCGACGACAATAACACTTGGTTCGGGCGAAATGGGGGAACTTAACATGCGTTACATTGCGCTCCCCTCTTGTGGGGATCGTGTGGTGGGTTATTGAACTCTGTATAGAGGCTGATAAAAATAAGTAAGTAAAGATTGGTGTTCACATCCTACCATGGTCGATAGTCAAAATTTCTCAAAACCCTGAGTCCGTTGGTAAATGCCACCTCTTTTTGGAGATTGGATTAATTGTTGATTAATAACACACAAAGGTTTCCTGTTCGATGGCATATTTAACTATTTGTGGTAGAAGAGAGGAGTAACTTGGACTTTGCAGTAGTAATTTGCGTTTGTATATCTTTCTGATCGTTTGGTACCCAACCATTTTAAGATTGGTAAATAATAAATAATTATCTGCCTAAGTTACTTTTTGATTTGTTGATTTGTGTTAATTAAAATGAATATATTTAGGTTTGTAGAGAATATAGTGAATAAGACAACAAAACCTTAGAGTCTCGAACTCGAAAGGTGCAACTGGTCATGAAAGAAGATTTGGATCAAATACCGGCGTTTGATTTCATCAATAAAACCCAAAGCAAAGACTTAAAACACACAACTCTGAAGTCCTCTATTTCAGCATTTAAATTACAAACTTTTTAGTTGCCTTTGATCGTCATTAAGTGCAACTGTTGGCGTGATTTTTATAAGATCCCAAATGCAGCGGTACTACCCACGACTTGTCCAGCGCAAAGCCCCGAACGATTTTATCCAGGGGGGCCGTATATTTGTGTATGCATTGGGTGCTTCTAAGCACATGCAGATGTATGCATTGCTGTCGGTCCGGCGAATGTTTATAAGCAAAATCGAATTACGATGGGCTGTCGTTATTTGGGTTTGGGCTTTGTTCGCCACCTTTGACACCCCCCCGCTCGAGAGTTTGCCGATTTTCATTGATTAGTTTGCCTGACTCACGTGTCGAGCGATCCGATCAACGATCAGCTTTCGCACGGAAAATGCCCTGGCGGTAACCACAACGCCTCACTCTCGTTGGAATTGGAATCGGAATTGGAATTGGATTGGGATTGGGTGGTGGCATTGCTGCCGTTCAAATTTTACTCACGGCCCCACCGGTATTTTTAATTTTTAGTACATATACCGCACACACACACACGCACACACGTACCAACGTATGCTCTGGCAACGGTCGTATTCTATTTGTAATCCAAAATAAGTGTACGTATCTGTAGCTGTATCTGCATCCGAACTGAACTATGTGGTTCGCTTTACGATCTCTCGTCGCCCACTCTCTTTGCCACTCAGCGAACGCTTTTCGTTTTATGTCTTCTTTATGCTCCGTATCGGGGGTCTGGGTCTGGGTCTGGTCTGGTCTGGACTGGTACAGCCTGCAGCCAATATCAAACAGCCAAACCCGATCCGGAGCACCCGAGTCCGAATCGGAGACAGATCCCACTTTTTACTAGTGAGTCCCAGGCGCAAGCTCGAAGTCGGGTGGCTCATGCGTAGTTTCGACAATCTCTGGACTCTGAAAACAGTGTTAGGCGGGAGCGGGGTTATCTCCGACCCAATGACTTATCATTGTAGCTTGGTAGTTGGTAGAGTCGACTCGACTCGACTACCATCTCAAGGCCGGATTCAAGCAACCATTTTTTTCATAAGACTAATTTTTGATTAAACTTTTGAACAACAGACAAACTTCTCTTATAAGGGTTATATTCTGTGACCTAAATACATTTTTGTGAAAACAGCAAGAACATAGCAAGAACTTCTATCGGCGGAAAATTACTCTTCAAGTAGGTAAGCACTTTGAAAAGTTGTCATTTGTTTTTTTTTCAGTGTTTTTTAAATATTTACGTTTTAATGAATATTTACCAATTATTTTGTCAGAAAATACAAATTATTTGTTCGGCTGCCAAATAGTCGATGCGAATAAAAATATGTAAAGAATGAAAAAAAGTTTAAGTAATTAAATATGTGAGGGATGAATAAAATTTTAAGGTAATTACTTCGAACTTAAAAATAATAAAAGGAAATCGCTGATCTAAAAATTGAACGTTTTTTAAAATTAATCCGATAATAACCCAATTACAAATCCTTTCATATTATAATATTTTTAAATCAATTGTGTATACAAAATTTGAATCCTTAAAAATGTATTTTTTCTCTTGGCAGTCGATAACAACCGCTGTTTAGTTGAGTAGTATTGTAAAAAATGTTAAATATAGCCAATTGTGTAGATATTCTTTTTTTTGTTTATTTTTTATTATCGGTAATATTAAAATACACTAGTATCTTTAAGAATAAATCTTAAATCTTGATTAGCATAGCCGAATTTCCTCGTGGCAATCCGTAATCTACGAATTTTGTTAGCGCAACTGTCGCCTTTGAATGTTTTACGTTATGTTTTCCAATACAAACTCCAAAAATAAGATGAAATACTAATTTATAACAGATGTTAACCAAGATGTTGCTGGAGTACAACGGTATTTGGTATCCTGGTGCGATCTGCCCAGTGCTCGAGATGCAGTTTCGCTGCAGAGATCATCAACCCAAAAGCCGAAACAGAAGCCAACGCATCCACCAACTGCACAGCATACTTGTATCTATATTTAGGCTACGACTTTTCCCATTTGGCCCTTCATAGATCTAGATCCATGCCATACCATCCCGAAGCAAACCGAACCGAACACATGCACAGCGCAGTCGGGAGAAGATTGGTTCATAGAGTAGGAATTGAATTTGAATCGGAGTAACTGCTTCCCTCTTCGGGCTGTGGATCTTGGAATCTTGCTTGCTCCGAACCGATCTGATCCGATCCGCTGCCTCCCCAGCCTCCCCCACTTCCTCCTCCGCCTCTGACGCCGTGGTAGCGATCTCTGTCCGATTCTATAAGTAGACGTACGTACATACATATGTACATATTCGTGTATATTTATATACCCACACACACATGCACATATAGCGACACACATGTGCACCACAGAAGGCATCGCCTCCGCCGCAATCTACCAGGTTAGAGCAGAGCCGTCCCGTTCCGTTCCGTTCCGTTATGTGCCGTTATGTTCCGTGCCCGAGGAGCGATCGTCTGCCTAACGATCGTAGCGGTATATATATACGTGTACGCCTATGCGAGTGTAAGTGCGAGTGCTCGTGTGCCATGTGTGTGTGCGACTGCCGTTAGTATCGGCAACGGGATCGCAAACAAAAAGTTCAGTTTCAGTTTCGTTGTTGTTTGGTTTGGTTAGTTTTAGTTGGTTAGTTGGAATCTCAGGAGCAGGCGGACTACGGAGAAGCGGTAAACGGTTGTCCGGCAAAAACGAGACCGAGACGCGCGCCTCTTTTTTCTCTCAGTGCAAATGCAGGTCAGCGAAAGCTTCTCGTGCGTAAGTTAAAGAGAGGGAAAAAGAGTCCGTGAGAGCCTGTGCGTGTGTATGAGTTAGAGAGTGCGAGACAAGGAGGATCAACAGGAACAACAACAACAACAGGGACCCTACATGAAAAAGCTTTGGTGGAAATAATAATAAAATTAAAAAGAATTATAATAACTAATAAATAAATGTGCAGACGGATATTTCTGAGTGTGTACGCAAGGCACATGTGCATCTGATTTCGTGATTTGTTTTTTTCTGGTGTTTCGTATTCTTTTTATTTTTATTTTGCGTGTTTTTGTCGACGTTGCCGTAGCCGATGAGCCGCCGTCTAAGGCTAAAAGGTTAACTTCTAAATATTAATAGTCGTTGTCGGTTTGTTGTCAACAACAAAATGCGAGTAACGCCAAAAACAACAAAGACATACAAAAATCGCGTTCGTTCGTTTATTCCGATTTTTATTTTGTTGTTCCTTGCGACGTTTCGGTTTCTGTGTTGTTCTTGTTGTGATTCGCTATTCTTTATATATGTATGTACATATATACATGCATATGTATTATTTTGTAGAGAAACTCTCACACATGCACAGTCATCGCCGAGCTTTAACTTTAACCGTTAATCGCCGAACGTTACAAGGGTAACGCTGCGTTCCAACTAGGACCATTTGAAATGCAAACGACGCACGGCCGCAACATCGACAACAAAAACAACAAACAGAGAAGCAACAAGAGCAGGAGAATCCGCCATTGAAGCACTCGACGAAATCCGCCGCAGAAAAAGAATTGAAGACAAAAAAAGAGAAGAGAAGAAAGACAAGATCCAGAGTTTCGCCTTCTCAGCAAAATTGGGGCATCAAGGAGAAGCTGCTGACAAATCAGAATTATCAAATGGTAAGCAAAACAACTGAAGATCAGCTTCCAGAGAGAGAGATCGACGAGACTCGGAAGTCTTTGCAGATGGGATCGGAATGCCATAGCCTTTGCATGGATTATTATCAGCAGTGACAATTTGCGAAAATCTGTGAAACCATTTTCGCTGTGTTTAGTCATAGTCTGCTGGGAGAATATATCGAGGAATGAGTTCTTACCGACAGCATGATACACAAACAGTTCTAGTCCAAATAATGACGCATCCAGTTCTTGAATAAGTCGGGCGGCATCTTTAAACCAACGTTAGATCATCAGAATCATGAGTACGGTTTTTCCATACTATTAATACAACGTTAAATAAACATTAATTTTTGATGTTTTCATTTACATACATATTTACAAACATATGTACATATACAACCTATGTACATTAACATTATCTATGTATATACATATCTGACAGAATTCTATGCATCTAAAAAGTCGTAAAATGACCTTTACTGCTAATTTAAAAAATTTTAAATTAATTTTAAATCAGCTTTTAAAATAATTTATAAAGTATTTTAATTTTGTTCAATATTTTTTCTAATTCAGGAAATAGTTTAATAGAGGCCAAAATTGTAAAAACCAACATATAAGGCATAAAGCAGCTCATAATTCTTGGGTAACAAACAAACGTAGCAAATTTTACAGTATGGTTCCTCAGAGAACTACATAAATATATGATACAGCCGTTCGATAAGCAAGATTTTTTAACATGATCAGTATACACAAACAATTTCGATTTGAAATGTTTTATGTTCATAGCTCTAAACCGCGCTTATAAACTGGATTGAACCTTACCTACAGTATGTCAACTAACAAAAAATGTTTTGGCATAGGAAAAGAATTTTTAAATCATACGAGAAGGTTGAAAGGACCCAAAAGTCGATTGGCACACTCAGAACTGTATTTCGCTACACTAAATGGTTGATTTTGAGTCAAATCGATTTTTCCTAAGAGCAAGTCGTTTGTAGAAACTATCATGCAGGCCCTTCCAAAAGGCTGTTGGGTGAATATCCTTACCAAAGTCCTTCTTATCCTTAACTTTGATCTATGTATGTAGAGGAGATCTGCGGGTTGACATTATGCTTTTATACGATCCTTACGAATTCCTGGCCACTCAAAGCCATGGATTAGCCAGTGTGTCCTGCACTTTGCAACGGTGTGGCTCCTTCAAAATGTCGCAAAGGGCTCCAAAAAGTAAAAACGGCTTCTGGGCATCCTTCCACCAATATTAACATTCGAATTGACTCGATCCTGCTTATTAAATATTAATTTTTGGACACATGCGGTTGATTTTCAAACAACCTTTTTTTTAATTAAATGCACTAAAATGATTTTTGCATACCTTTTAGAGTATAGAGGCCAATGGGACAAACCAAAAAAAAGTGGCCAACTCGATAGAGTTTTAACAATATAGGGGAAATTTGGTCCTTTTTTGTTTACCGATTTTTAATAAATTATTTATAAAAGATAAATTAATGAAGTCACTTGTAATAAACAGTATATTGATGTTTCATTTAAATATCAGCATATTATATATAGAAAAAGAAAGGAAAGCTAGCTTCGGGCGGAGCCGAAGTTGATATACCCTTGCAGAATACTCTGTAAATTGTATTCTCTAAAATTATTCATATGATGCATTCTTAATACTCATAAAAATCCCAACTTCCTATCTTTAAAAACACCAAAGTTATGGCATTTCCAATCGTTCAGTTATATGGCAGCTATAGGATATAGTCGGCCGATCCTTATGAAGTTTGGTAGGTCGGATTGATTGGCCAAAAATAAAACCCATAGAAAATCCCAACTTTCTAACTTAACAAACACCAAAGTTATTGCATTTCCAATCGTTCAGTTATATGGCAGCTATAGGATATAGTCGGCCGATCCTTATAAAATTTGGTGGGTCGGATTGATTGGCCAAATATAAAACCCATAGAAAATCCCAACTTCCTAACTTTACAAACACCAAAGTTATGGCATTTCCGATCAATCAGTTATATGTCAGCTATAGGATATAGTCGGCCGATCCCGGCCGTTTCGACATATATACTGCGTGCAAAGGAAAGAAGGGTGTGTGCAAAGTTTCAATTCGATAGCTTTAAAACTGAGAGACTAGTTTGCGTAGAAACAGACAGACGGGCAGACGGACAGACGGACATGGCTATATAAACTCAGGAGGTGATCCTGATCAAGAGGGTCGGAGATGTCTCCTTCACTGCGTTGCACACTTTTGACCAAAATTATAATACCATCTGCAAGGGTATAAAAAGAGCCTTAAAGTTCTACATGCTTGCTGTGCCAATAATTAAGTTCGTTACTGTATAACGTTATTATTAGCTACCACAAGAAATTTAGTGCCAAATTTGTAAAATGCGTACCCGTTTCTTGTAGAGTAAAAGGGTATATTGTATTCGTTGGAAAGTATGTAACAGGTAGAAGGAAGCGTTTCCGATCCTATAAAGTAAATATACATATATATTCTTGATCAGGATCAATAGCCAAATCGATTAAGCTGTGTCCATCTGTCTGTCTTTCCGTATTATGAACGTCGAGATGTCAGAAACAAGAGCTAAAGATTTGGGATAAATAAAACAGATTCTAGATTTTCTTGTGCAGCGCAAGTTTATTATACCCGTTACTCGTAGAGTAAAAGGGTATATTGTATTCGTGCAAAAGTATGTAACAGCTAGAAGGAAGCGTTTCCGACCCTATAAAGTATATATATTTTTGATCAGGGTCACTAGCCGAGTCGATATAGCCATGTCCGTCTGTCCGTCTGTCTGTCCGTATGAACGCTGAGATCTCGGATCTCGGATCTCGGGGCACCCGAGTATAGCGTTCTCTCTTGTTTTAAAATGCTACTATGCCCATTCTAACGCCCACAAATCGCAAAACTCTTTAGAGACCTTGTTGAATCGAATTATTTGGCGGAATATGTTAAAACCGCACCAAAACCCGAATTCGGTCAATATCTATCAACACATCAAAAATTTTGTCAAAGCAGTACTTTAGAAGGTATAGGACATCTTAAGTGTTAATTGTGACGTCACTGCATATTTGAAAACATGGTTCATATATTTGAGAAAGCGGAACAGAGCGAGAAACCTGTTAGTAGGTGGGTGCTGCTTGTTTTCAGCTTGTGGTGTTTGCACTACAGTTCGACATTTCCTGGGGGTATATTTATTTTGAAATTGGTGACCTCAGTAACGGGTATCTTATAGTCGAGGCACTCGACTGTATCGTTGCTCCTTTTTATACCCTTGCAGAGGGTATTATAATTTTGGTCAAAAGTGTGCAACGCAGTGAAGGAGACATCTCCGACCCTATAAAGTATATATATTCTTGATCAGGATCACCTCCTGAGTTGATATAGCCATGTCCGTCTGTCCGTCTGTCTGTTTCTACGCAAACTAGTCTCTCAGTTTTAAAGCTAAAACAAAGCTTTGCACACACCCTTCTTTCCTTTGCACGCAGTATATATGTCAGAACGGCCGGGATCGGCCGACTATATCCTATAGCTGCCATATAACTGATTGATCGGAAATGCCATAATTTTGGTGTTTGTAAAGTTAGGAAGCTGGGATTTTCTATGGCTTTTATATTTGGCCAATCAGTCCGACCTACCAAATTTCATAGGGATCGGCCGACTATATCCTATTGCTGCCATATAACTGAACGATCGGAAATGCCATAACTTTGGTGTTCTTAAAGTTAGGAAGTTGGGATATTTTATAAGTATTAAGAATGCAACATATGAATAATTTTGGAGAATATAATATACAGAGTATTCTGCAAGGGTATATCAACTTCGGCTCCGCCCGAAGTTAGCTTTCCTTTCTTGTTTTAATATATATTTGAACCGATACCTTGAGTTTGATCACTCTTAGTGATTAGGAGTGATTAGGATCAATAGACGAGTCGATCTACCCTTCTGTCCGTATAAACAGATCTCTGAGTTCAGAGAGTTGGTATTAATGTTGAGAAATGTTTTTTGGCGGTATACACTACATTGATCTATTAACATTGATCCAAAAACAACAGCTATTTTTAAAGTTATTTAAAAATTAATTTAACATTGTCAATGACGTCTAAAGGCGTAAAATCTTGTTATCTCCTTGCAGAGAATAAGACATTTCCGACCCTATAAAAAAAATATGTATATATTTTTGATCAGAAACAGCATCAACAGGATAGTCAATCTAGACATGTCTGTCTGTCCGTTTCTACGCAACCTAGCCTCTCAGTTTTAAACATTCTCAAAAGTCTTCTTTCTATTGCAGTATAAAAGAAAACCGTTAATCTGAAATCTTTTAAAAATACTATATTTCCGTATATGTTAAAAATCGAAGTTATAATTCTTTTAATTTATTTTGTCGATAGTTCCAACGGGAGCTATATTAAAGTGTTGACCGATCCGACTTATCGACCCTAAATAGTATTTTTAAAAGATTTCAGATTAACGGTTTACTTTTATAAAAATCGGACGACTAAAAAAAGATTTGCCAATTTTCAATCAAATTTTTGTTCGTTTCAATGACTTCCGATTTTTATAAAATGTAATCCCCAATTTTGAAATAAGAGCGTAGCCGTATATGTTTTGACACGAACATTTTTATTGGCCCGTTTCGACTTAAGAAAAATAAAAACTAAGAAAATTGTATCATATAGCTTTTAACATGAAACACTAGTTTGCCTAGAAACTGACAGACAGACGGATGGAAAGACAGACTTGGCTAGATCGACTCTTCTGGTGAAGCTGATCAAGAATATACATATATACTTAAAGGGTCGGAAATGTCTCCTTCACTGCTTTGGAATCTTTTGACTCTAATAATAATATCCTCTGCAAGGAATTAATAAGAAATACAGTCATAGGATAACGATCTAATTACTTATTTCTAAAATATTGCTTATAATTATAAAATTTGTATATATTAATTCTTTAATAACACCACCCAAAATACCACTGATCCCCACAGGAGACGAAAAACCCCCCGCCAGTGACGAGCAGTTACCACCACCAGCGGGCGCCGCGCACGCCGGAGTCGTACTTCAACGTGCCGGAGTCGGTGGCACTGCTGAACATCGTCAAGTCAGAGCGCATCCAGAGCGCGTTCCAGTCAAACCGCAAGAACCATGCCAGCGTATGGGAGATGGTCGCCGAGGTGCTCAACCGATTCAGTGCCCGGAAGCGGACGGCCAAACAGTGCTGTAACCGGTACGAGAACCTCAAGAAGATCTACACGCAGCTAAAGAAGAACCCGGAGCGCCATGTGCGCCGCAACTGGCCGTACATGTTCCTCTTCAAGGAGATCGAGGAGCAGCGCGGCGAGTGCTGGGGCTCCAACGGCAAGCGCCTGGCGCTTATCTCCAAGAACCACAACGAGCTCTCCTACTACCAGCGCCGGCGACAGGCGGCCGAACTGGGAGTGCTACTCAACAAGGACAATCTCACCCCGCACCAGCACAGCCTCCTGCAGAGCCTGAGTCAGAGCCAGAGTCATTCGCACGCCCACTCCACGGACTCCTCGCAGAGCGGGTGCAAGCTGGAGCGCTTCCTGCCCAACCACTTCGTGGAGGCTCAGCTGAACGAAGTGCCGTGCCCGGTCGGTGGGGCCGGTCCAGGGTCCGGTGGCGTTTCCGGCCTGTCCGGCGGCGCTTACGACGAGAGTCCCCTCCAGATGCAGGTGGCCGCCGCAGCCGCCGCTGCCGCAGTGGCCGCCCAGAAGCGGCACGAGCTCCAAATGGCCTGTGTCGGCGACGTTCAGATAGCGCACGAGGACGACGACGAGGATGAGCATGAGCGTCCCGCATTTAAAAACCGCCTCCACGGGCTGGGCCATGGCTTGGGCCACGGTCCGATGGATGACCCCGGCGAGGCACCCGACTTTGAAAAGGACTGCAATGGAGCCCTCAACATGCACCACCAGAATAACAACCACCATGACAATAACATATCCATGAAGTGAGTACATAAACAGGCCAAAGATTTATTCATTGCAAGAAGATATCTGAGAAACTATATAGTATGGGAAAGTTGATGCTGATCAATAATATATATACTTTATAGGGTCGGATATGACTGACATTTTATTATCATCTGCAAGGATATAAAAATAAGAGTTATTTGTACATTTGTGCGTCAGGCGGTCCAAATTTGTATTACAATTTTAAGGTCCCACTCTTACCCGCTTATTCTGTGCGTATCGATGCATTAAATCACTACATTTATTAAAAAATATGCATTTTAAGATCATTGCTGTGGCTTAAGATTTCATTGACTTAAAATGTAATTTGTTTCTTCATATTTTGACTATAATTTAAAAGAGAAAGAATGTAACAAATAGGAGAGAGATCATTTTGTACAAAGTTTTTACTGGCAGATGTATCGTATAAGTAACTAAAACTCAAAATAGATTTGGTTGATTTTAAAATAAGTCTATTGCATACCAAAATCTTCCACATTAATCGGTAAGAGTATGTTTTTCTTACAAACCTCATTTACACTCGTAGACAATATAATAGGTGTGCAGTTATTTTTTTTAATATCGTTTTAAATATAAGATTTAATAAGGAAGCTATGTTTTTTAATATCATTACACTGTTTCGGTGCGAATTGGAAAATTGCGATTTGATTTATTGCTTTGATTGCGAATTCGGTTGGTCAATTAAATATGCGTATGAAGCAAAACATTCACCTGTAGCTTATAAATACAATTATTTGGTAAGGTATTATAAAAATATACCTAATGGGGACATAAACATTAAAATTGTATTAGAAAGGCCGTGGGCGTCACTGCAGTGCGGAGGAGAGAAGGCTTATTCGACGACTCCGAGATGAAGGAAAAACGTATAATTCTATTGCCATGCTAATGAAACGTTCTCAAAAATTTGCAATAGCAAACTTACCAGGGAAATGTACAGATGAGGAACAAATTTGCATTCGATCGTAGAACCTGGTGAGGACCGAAGGGTGAGAAAAAATGGAGTAATATCCTCTGGAGTGACGAAACCAAAATACATTTATTTACATTTAATACATTTAATTTGTTATGTGTATATATTTCAAGTAGTTTATGACCAAATAATTGCTCAGTAGGTTCTCAAATCTAAGACAAGCACTTTGCTCTTATGCACACAGGTCGGAACCACTTTCGGAAGGCGAGTTCAACCCGGACGACATCCAGTTGATGCAGACGAACTACAATGGGTGAGTGCTCGCGACGGAAGGAGTTTCCGGTTCCCCTCTTAAAACCGTTGTCTTTCAGGGCACAGAACTACTATTCACCGGGCCTGGATCCAAATATTTTGCACCCCGACGTGATCGTCGACACGGACAATCTGTCCGACTGTTCCTCGTCCACCACGCTGAAGAAGAAGCGCAAGATGTCCACCTCCACCGATGGCGACAGCACCAACTACGAGCTGATTGAATATCTGAAGCGGCGCGAGAAGCGTGACGAGGAGTTCCTCAAGCGGATGGATGCGCGCGAGGACCGTCTGATGAACCTGCTAGAGCGCACGGTGGTGGCCATTGAGACGTTAGCCGTAAAGCGAGCACTTTCGTTTTCGACGACGTCCAAAGAAAAGACGCCCACGGCAGCAGATCGCTTTTCTCCGCCACAAGAAGCGCAATTTTTAGCGCCACCAGCATCGCAGGCAAATCCCGCTGAACAGCCCATTGCGGAGCGGAAAGGCAATCCGCCAGCTAGCAGCAGCAGCTCCCTTACCGTCGGGGATCAGGGTCACGTCATCGAAGTGCCTGACGATGGCGATAGCGGTGGCGGTCCTCAGGCTAAGGACACGGCTGCCAATGCCCCAAAAGCTGGAGATGAAGAGCGAGCCGATACCAAGCAGACATAGAATACAACACTCACACACCCACTATTTTAACGCTCGCTAGACCTACTTAAACCTTCCACCCATAATCCCTCCCTACCACCAATCCTGCCCGGATGGCGGAGGAGGACACAGTGCCAAAGACGAGCCACGTCTCGAATTTTTATTGAGATTGCATGTTTACTTAGAGAGCCGACGAACGTGCTCAGCGGACGAAAGAAACTTAATGGAATGTTGAGCACCGCAATTTTTGTTGCAGCGATAATTTTAATTTTTTTTAATTAGCTTTAGTTAGGCGGAATCCCACATCCGGATGCCAAATGAATCTCAACACAGCAGGATTCTCACCGCTACAATAATCTAGTTGGAGCTGCAACGGGGCTCAAATGCATTTGTGCAGCAACTTAAGCACAATCATTTCTTTTTTTTGTAATCTAGATAAATACATGTACGATTTAAAAAAAACAAACGTGGTTTATTTTACAGAGGATTAAGCTTACAACTAAATGAGGCATGCTTTGGCTTTCATAATGCCACTTTTTGTCCAAACTTTCGCCATACTTCTGCGAGGGAGTAGATCAGAGTCAACAATAATTATGTGCAGTGGCTTTGGCACTGGTGTAAAAAGTAGGTATGTAAATAAAGGAGTGGAAATCCAGAGAAAGCCCTTTAACTACCGTATAAATTAACCTAAGGATCAGCCTAAGGGGATTATTGTTTTGCTTTTTTATTCCGGTACTGTTTAATGTCCTTGCTGGGCAGGTTCTTCTTGGTCTTGGCGATCTTGTTGCTGATAAGCAGCTTCAGACGGTTCCTTACTTGGTCGTAGTGGGCCTGGTCAACCTCCGCCTTCGCGGACTTGAAGAACTTGGCGCCCTCTGCAAAACCAGATGAATTAGTTAGGTTAGATAGCACTGATGTTCTTACCTTTCAGTCGAGGATCGTTTTTGGATATGAAGAAGGACTCCAGTTTGATCTTGTTCTTCTTCTGCTTAGACTTCTTGACTGGCTGGTCCTGATTTTCCTTGCTGACCTCTATTTCTTGCTCGTCTTTTGGCGGTTTTGCTTCGTCCTCGCTGTCAGACGAGTCGTAGGAGAAGGGATTGAGCGTGTCCAAGCCGAGCTTGTTGACGGAAGCCTTGCCCACCAGGATCTTTTCGTGACCCAGCTTTTCCAACTGGTCTTGGCGCTTGGCCACCTCCTCGTCGGGGGCGCTGCCAAACATGTCAAGCAGACTGAAGCCTTCGCCCCGAGTGTTCAGAGAATCCTTAAGGGTGTCGGTGACCATGTAGAAGGCCGTTTTTGAGACGGGGGCCTGGACAGTGGCGCTGTCGCCGGTCTTCGCGTCTTTGGTCTTGGGAGCCTCCTCCTCCTTGGAGTGCTTCTGGCGCACTAGCTTTTGATGGTCCTCCTTGGCCGGATCGAAGCGCAACATTTTTTTGCTTTTGGCTGGTTTACCGTCATTGTTATTGGCCCCGCTAATCTTATGTCCCACAACCTGCTCCAGAATGTCCATCTGCCACTTACGCTCACTGTCCTCCGGCTTTGGCTCATCTCCAGAGCGGTCGCCAGAGCCCTGCAGCTCCTCCTCCTCCTCCTCTTCGTCCACAAAGTTGGCTGTGATACGAAAGCGGGGATCTATGCTCTGTTTGCTCTGCATCTCCACCAGACGCTCGCCTTTCTTTCCCTTGTGCTGCGGCAGGACGACCTCCTCGTCCTCCTCATCCTCGTCGCCCTCGAAGAGATCCCGTTTTTGTGGTTTGGACTTTTGGACAGGCTTTACCTCCTCCTCGTCGTCGCTGAACTTGATCCTCTTCGCCTGAGCCCCTTCGCCGGATATCGCAGACAGCGCCTGCTGGATGACAGACTTCTTCTGCTGGTGCCCCTGTCGCATCTTGTTAAGTGACTCCTTGCGCTTCTGCTCCGCCTGGCTGACCTTGGCGTCTGGTTGCTGCTTGGCTGGCTTGCGGTGCTGCTCGATGACGTGCAGCGGTTTCACGTCGTGCTCCTGCTGTATGACGATCTGTATTGAAAGGAAAGGAACCCGGTTTAGATGCCAAAAAATTGCAAGTCGCTAAGTAAGTGCCTACCTTGCCATTGTGCATGGAGTGGGCGGCGCGCTTCTTGGTGATTAGCAACTCCGGAGCAATCTCGTCGTCGCCTATCTCCTCGTCTTCGCCGAAGACCCTGCGCTTGTTCTGGTTGCTCCTTGCCAGCAACTGGGAGACTGGAGCCGACACCTCGGATTCGACTGACTCGCCCTGTTCCCGCCGCTGGTTCTCCTCGCGCTCACGCTTCAGTCGGTCCAGAAACGACTCCTTGGCCAAGGACACCCGCAGCTTTTCGCCGTGAAGCTGCTGCCAGTTAAGCTCGTTGACGCCTGGAAAGTGATCGCTAAGTTATCGCAACGCACTGCTCCATTCCGGCCGACTTACAGTACTGGGCATCCTCCGTCTGCAGAGTGACAAAGGCGAGCACCTTGGTCGCCCCATCCTGCTCCTTCCGCTTCAGATCCACATGCTCCACATGGCCGTAGTCCTGGAACAGGCTGCGTAGGTCCGCCTCCGAGGTCCTGGTCGGCAGATCCGCCAGGAAGAACCGAGTACTCCCCATCGTTGAGTTCAGTTTTCAGTATTGACAAAAAAACAAAACGATTTCACTGCACGTGTAGAATCCCGGCAACAATAACAATGAAAGTGTGACCACGGAAACATACACACTTCTGCCTTAAAATAACCTTCATATATATGGGCTTAAAATTAAAGTCGGTGGTTCGATTGTGCAGCGGTGGAAAATGGTACATGCTATTTATATTTTTCAATTTTTTCGCTATTAAGACTTGTAATTCAAAAATGTAGAGCTTAAGAAAAGTTTCAAACAATTTTTATTTGCAGTTTCTTGGATTAAAATTGTCTTAAAAGCATTGCTCCCGAAAGTGCGGGGAGCAGATTTTTCAAATCCCATTTTGATACATTTGCAAACCTCGAATATTCTAGAATCCATAAGTAAAGTTAGTTTTTTTTTCTTATTGATTTAGGTTTTTTGGATTACCATGCCCAAATAGCGACAAAATTCAAAAATAAAGGCAGCCTATGCTAATTCCACCCATATAAAATATATTCAGTATATCATTTAACTCAGTTCGAAAACGTTAAATAACGTTTTTGTAAATTAATTTCATAAAAAATAAGCCATGAACACAGACAATTTACACAATACCATAAACTGTTATCCGCTTCAAAAAATGCCAGCACTGATCAGCTACTGGCAGTGTTGCAAAACGCGTTGCAACACGACCGCTCCGAGCCTGCAGTGCAGCTGGTCACACCGGCAGCAGACGTCAAATTCTATTATTTTGTTTTGTTTTGCGAAAAGTTTGCAGGCAAAAGTTGCCAGCAAGCGTGGAGATAAAACCACAAGCGACGGCACCATGGCGAGCGGGACAAGCAGCAGCGGAGCGGCAGCGTCGGCGGACACGGCGCCCCCGTCGGCCGAGAAGTGGGGCTTCCCCCTGATGGAACTCTATCGCCTTGCATTCGCGTTCTACAAAAGTGAGTGACCCCTCAACCGATCCGTTTCCCCATTTCTAACTTGTAAACGTGCTTTTTGCAGGGAACTCGGGCAAGGCCATCCACCTGTCCTACGAGGACAACCTGAAACTGATCGCCTTCAAGCAGCAGGCAGCCCTGGGTCCCTTTAACACGACTCGGGCACCGGCGCTGGGCGTCCTGGACGTGATTGGGCGCGACCGCCAGCAGCACTGGCAGCTGCTGGGCGAGATCACTCGAGAGCAGGCCATGGAGGGCTTCGTCGATCTGCTGGACACCATGTGCAGCGCCTTCAGACCGTACATTGAGGCCGTGCGCCAGGATCGCGACGAGACCCTGCGCAAGGAGCTGCGCCTCATGGAGGTGGAGAAGGAGGCACGCGAACGGCAGGAGAACGCCCAGCAGGAGCTGCTCGAGGAGGGCTACAAGGAGGAGCTGCAGCGCCGCCAGCTGCAAGACGCGCTTAACAAGCAGACGTATCAGCAGTTCAAGGTAGAGCCCATCGATTTTTTCCACGAGATGCCGGGCCTCTGCACCTGTTGTTGCGCTCAATAATGCATGCTAATTGCTGGGGCCCGGCCTTGGCAGGGTCTCTGCCATTGAAAGGGGTCGTGACCCAGTTCCCAGGCAATTTAATTTACCCCCATAACACTCCATCCACAGCTGTATGCCGAGAAACAGTTCCCCGGCAATCCCGAGCAGCAGGCCGTGCTCATCCACCAGCTGCAGCGGGAGCACTACCACCAGTACATGCAGCAGCTCCATCTACAGAACCAGAATCAGCAACATAACCAGAACCCAGAGGAAAAGGGCCACCAGGACAGGGAACTGGAGGACAACGCCCCTGGCAACAACAACAACAGCCCTACCGACTTGCCCCACGCCATGGAGGCTCTGAAGCTGGGTGAAATAGAGACGCAACAGGAGCAGCATATGGCGGAGCAGCAGCTCGGCCATGTGGAGCAGGCGGAGGGCGTCGGGCAGGATCAGCTTGGCGAGGAGGAGTACGACGACTACGTCATGATATGCCCGGCCAAGATCTGGACTCGTCCCGACATCGAGCAGTTCAAGACTGAGGTGTCTGCCGGCGATGGCGACGGCGTCATTACCATCGGGCACGGCGACACGGTAACGGTGGGTTCCAATCAGATTTTTGAAAAGGCATATCTTGATTCTTACTATTCGCAGGTGCGGGTGCCCACCAACATGAACGGCAAATGCATTTTCTGGGAGTTCGCCACGGACAGTTACGACATAGGTTTCGGCATCTACTTTGAGTGGGCCAAGCCCGTGACCAACGAGGTGACCGTGCACGTGAGCGACTCCGACGAGGACGAGGACTGCGTAGACGAGGACTACCTATCCACCACCGAGGACCTGGAGTCGGGTTCGCTGTCGCAGGAGCGTGGGGCGGTTAGCAACCCGACTGCTGCCCCCAAGGCACCCATCTCCATTATTGTGCCCATCTACCGGCGTGAGTGCTACAATGAGGTGTACGTGGGCTCTCACTCCTATCCGGGCGAGGGCGTTTACTTGCTGAAGTTTGACAACAGCTACAGCATCTGGCGCTCCAAGACACTTTACTATCGCGTCTATTACGAACGTTAAGAGGCCAAAATGTATTTAATATTCACAAACTTAAAAGAATCCTATTCTATACGACCGGCTCATGTGCAAGTCCGGAATTCCCTGTAGGTGCGTATGCGTGTGCGTGTGCGCGCGGGTTCTGGTGTTACGTGTACGTTAATGCATCTCCGGAAAATAACCAATGGGAATGCCATCTCTTTGCAAATCTGCGGGTGGCCTTCTCTAATAAAACCAATATTATTTATTATTTAGTTGTAAACCGACAAAGACAAGTCCAAAATTCAATTTGAAAAAATAAACCAATAACAAGAAAACTAAACATATTCACTATTTATTATACTTATCGAATACAATTATTTTTTTCTCCGCTATTTTATCAACTTTTGTTTATAAAATTGTTCAGTTAAGACCTTAATCATCAAAAGTATTTCCCAAATTTAGAACGACTTTATTCACCATCAATTTTTTATTTTAAAATTGTGGGATACAGAACAGTTTTGTTGCTTAAAATACGTATTCGTCAATATTATAACTAAATAACGATGTTGATAAGCACCTTTTTTTTAAATGTTATAGGGCTACCACAATTTTTCAGAATCAAAAATATATCAAATACATGGACATTTTTATATCCATTATAATTCAATTCCAATCGAGTTTCAACCGAAGAGATTTGTGTTACCCCTAAATTTATCTAGTTTTTTAAACTTGTTTTCTATTTCTTTTAGATAAACTGTAGAACTTTCAGTGCATTTAAAAAGAGTTTGTTTGTGTCCCAAACGGTCCGTTAAAATATTTTCAATTCATAATTGTTTAGACGTTAGACTTTGGCTAACAAGACCACCAGAGTGAACCCACTCTTTGTTTATGTTTTGCTTATTTCTTGTATTATTTAGCTCAAAGGTGAGATAAATAAAGAAAATACAGATGAGATCTCAACTCGTGGGAGGGGGTCTTAACACAAACGGTCCTACCATCTACTGGTCTAGTGCTTACTGCCGCCGCCCGGTCACACTGGCCATTATGCATGCACTCAGGTTTTCAGCCGGCAATGGAATAGGGAATGCAATCGGAGGAGGGCTCAGAGGAGCACTGCGGTGCCACGGACGCCGCCTCAGCTACGTGCTGGGCATCGAGACCTCATGCGATGACACGGGCATCGCCATTGTGGACACGGCCGGCCGGGTGAGGGCAAATGTTCTGGAGTCCCAACAGGAGTTCCACACTCGGTGAGTACGTTCGTGTATTCGTTCGAAAATCTAACCGATTGGCTTGCAGATACGGCGGCATCATCCCACCAAGGGCCCAGGACCTGCACCGCGCCAGAATCGAGTCCACCTACCAGCGCTGTCTGGCGGAGGCCCAACTGCAGCCGGAGGAGCTGGCGGCCATCGCGGTGACCACGCGGCCCGGACTGCCAATGAGCCTTCTGGTGGGCCTGCGCTTTGCTCGCCACCTAACGCGTCGCCTGCAGAAGCCCCTACTCCCTGTTCACCACATGGAGGCGCACGCTCTGCAGGCCCGCATGGAGCACCCGAAGGAAATCCGCTTCCCGTTCCTCTGCCTGTTAGCCAGCGGCGGCCACTGCCAGCTAGCGGTGGTTCACGGCCCCGGCAGACTGGCGCTCCTCGGCCAGACACTGGACGACGCGCCCGGAGAAGCCTTCGACAAGATCGGGCGGCGCCTGCGCCTGCACATCCTACCCGAGTACCGACTGTGGAACGGTGGGCGGGCCATCGAGCACGCCGCCCTGCTAGCCAGCAATCCGCTGGCCTACGAGTTCCCCCTACCGCTAGCACAGCAGCGCAACTGCAACTTCAGCTTCGCCGGCATCAAGAACAACTCCTTCCGCGCTATCAAAACGCGGGAGCGGGAAGAGCTAACACCTCCGGACGGAGTCATCAGCAACTACGGCGACTTCTGCGCCGGCCTGCTGCGCGCCGTCAGCCGGCATTTGATGCACCGCACCCAACGGGCGATCGAGTACTGCCTGCTGCCGAACGTTCGACTTTTTGGCGACGCCCCGCCCACGCTTATCATGTCCGGCGGGGTGGCCAATAACGACGTCATCTACGCCAATATCGCGCACCTGGCCGCCCAGTACGGATGTAGGAGCTTCCGGCCGTCCAAGCGCTACTGCTCGGACAACGGTGTGATGATCGCCTGGCACGGCGTAGAGCAGCTCATGCAGGACAAGGAGGGCAGTCTGCGCTTCGACTACGACCACATCGACATCCAGGGTACGGCGGGCTTCGCCGAATCCCACGAGGAGGCAGTGGCCGCGGCGGCCATCAAGTGCAAATGGATACAGCCTCTGGGCTGACGGTCCGCATTAGTTTCTCTTTTTGCCTTACACTTCCCGATAAGTTAGAGTAAGGTGCTTTAAATAAGTTTAATGTTGTTATGTGAGGGAAACTAAATCCTTTGAATTATAGGCTATTTTCGTAAAATTCCAAGAAAAACGTTTTTTTTTACTCTGTTACGACTGCGGCATTAGAGCTCAGTCCAAAGGACTTCACATGTCTGCCTGGGTTTAAATAGGAAAAACGCAGTTCTAAATAATATATATTATTAATAGGGTGGGAGATAGACGCTTCGTTAGGTATTACTGACCAAAATTCAGTAGCTTACTTTACTTGGCAAATTCTTTACCATTAAAGGGAAAAAGAACTCGGTTCTCATTATCATTAAAATAATAAATGCTAAATAATTTATCAACGAATTTAACATAAGTAGGCTTGTCTGAGGAGTTTAGTATTAAAACATGCATCCATGTCTTAAAAACTCTTTATCACTTTATCATCTTAGATAGTTAATCATTGCCTTCTAGTAATATTTTCATCTATAAATTTCACAAATAAATCGATGATTAATTATCGCTCTTTCATAAACTAAAATTCTTAAAAAAATAGTACTTATTTTCATTTAATTATTTCAAATGGATTTAAGAGCAAGTGTTTCTTGGCCAATACAGATTAAAACTGTCTATATAATTTCTTCTCCCTTACCATTTTGCAGTTTTTTCGGATCCATAGCCTACTACCGTATTTATATTATGACCGTTGTATGTATTCAGTTACACAAGAAAGTTGATTATGAATTTAATGTCGTCATCGTCTTGCATCAGGTGCATCGTATAACTTAAATAATCCCTTTATAAGCTTGTTACCACATTGGAAGTAAATTCCCATTTAATTTGTTTGATATCGCCTGCTTTAATAATATTATTGGTGTTTTCACTCCATTGATTCATAAACAAACACCTATCACTACCTATTCGCATTCGTCCCGTTTTCTAAATGTCCTGAAATTCATAGCAAGTCGTTGTAATTCACGGACATGGTGCTTATGCTCACACTTTTTCCAACATCTAATGTAATTATTGCATTAAATTTGGCGTCCATAAAAACACTTCAGCATACGGTTTTGTACATATGAATTTCTAAGAAAACGGCAGATCAATTGTTTAATTTTCACCTTTTTACGAACTTAGTTTTGGGTTTTTGTTCCTTGTTCATTCTGGAAAACTGGCAACACAGAAAACGTTTCGTTTTGGATTTCGTTTTATTATAAGATATCTGAAATCAATAATGTTAAATCACTAAGGTCTAGAAAAAAAATGTAAAAATTGATAATGTATACATATAAAAATATTAAAAAATGCATTAGTTCGTATTTTCTTTTTCTTTGTTGTTTTTGCTGAACTACAATACAAATTTGTTTCTTGCTGTTGCCGTTTGTTTTATTGTTATACTTTATGGATTATACATATTTAAATATATATATTTATATAGATTGTAAATTTCAGATGTGTGTTTGTGGTTGCAACGCCTAGTTCTGTTTTTGTTTCGTTTTCTTTTAATTTATTTTTAATCATATTTCAATACTCATACTCTTAGTTTTATTACATAATAAGCTTCACTTTCATATTTGCATGCTAGCAAATTCCTTCCAACCTCCGTTTTCTGAACATAACGCCATTAGTTATCATAAATATTTTATTTAATCTTCGCGACTTTGCTTATTTTTCACATTGCTCATGGGACTATCGACTTGGATTGCAAGTGTTTCATAGACTGATGCAAAACAAAAATTTGCATGGTTCTCCCTTTTTTTGTTTGTTTTTTTTTTGTTTTATCATAAGTTTATATTTTGTTGTTTCTTCTTAATTCTTGTATATATATAAAGAAATATATATAAATAATTTGTTTTCGCTATATTGATATTGTGTTTTCTCTCTTAATAAGAAAATTGCGCCAAAAACAAGAATGCGAGCAGAAATGAAGTCGGTCCTGGCGAAGATCGGGATTGAAATCTGAGGGGCGGAAGAGTGTCCCAGTTTAAAAGCAACTGCCCAGTCAGCTGAGACAGTGTTTAAATCATAATCCAGGGCGATTCTAGCTCCAAAGTCGGAGCACGGACAGTACCGACACAGATACGGATAGAGAAAGAGAGGGAGAGACAGACATAGGCAGATGGAGGGGAAGCAGCTTCTGGAGTACTGGGCTGGACTGGGCTCCGGCAGAAGCGATTGCAGAATTACATTGTCAAAACATATATATGGGCATATATTAAACGCTTCTCGACGCTGGGAGGCTGGGAAGGAGTCAATGCGATAGTAGAAAGCCAGAAAGAAAGGGACACATCATGCGGGGGGAGAAGAATTATAAGAATTTGCACTTCCTTTTCTTTGTCGGCTCTGGCGGCTCAAGGGCGGCCAGGATGGCCTCGTCGAATACATTTTTCAGGCCCTTCTGTGTCAAGGCCGAGCACTCCACGTACTTGACGGCCTTCAGCTCCTTGGCCAGCTTCTCGCCCTGCTCCATGGTGATGGGCTTCTGCTTGTTCTTGGCCAGCTTCTCCAGCGTGCTGGTTTCGTCGCGCAAGTCGATCTGTGTGCCCACCAGCAGGAACGGCGTCTTTTGGCAATGGTGCGTGATCTCGGGCACCCACTGTGGAGTTGATTAAATGTCCGGTTAGTCTGTTTTGGCACATCTATCTGCTGCTATCTGCTTACCTTCTCCTTGACGTTCTCAAATGAACTGGGACTAACCACCGAGAAGCAGACCAGGAAGACATCCGTCTGTGGGTAGGAGAGCGGACGCAGCCGGTCGTAGTCCTCCTGCCCGGCCGTATCGAACAGGCCCAGTGTGTAGGGCTCGCCGCCGATCATCACGGTGACCGCATAGTTATCAAAGACCGTGGGCACGTACTCCGAGGGGAACTTGTTGGTTGTGTACGAGATGAGCAGGCAGGTCTTGCCCACGGCTCCGTCGCCGACGACCACGCACTTGATGGTTTGCATGTTGTGCAGATGGATGACTCCTGCGGTGTAAGAGAGAGCGTAGGATTAGTTTCCGGATTTTGTCACCCGTCGGCGGGGAAGAGGCGGGGAGGCAGACTAGGGTGCGGTCCTGGCCCACTCCTGCTCCTGCCAGAGTGACCGTTCGTCGGCAGGGCCTTATCTATGCGGAGCAGCGGGCATATCTGTGCAGACCGAGCGATGACTCAAGCCAAAGAAAGAACGGAAAGCAACGGCGCACACAGATAAGCCGGACGGACGGGCATCAGAAAATTCTGATTGGACACACACGGGCGTATCGAGTAGGCTGCACCGGTGTGTGTGTGTGTGTCCGAGCGGTGCGTGTTCACTTAAATGCAGTTTTTACTGCACTAGCTCTTTGCCAACTTTATTGCACACGAAACCAGCAGTAGACAGCTGCTAATCTTAACTTGTTTTCCCCCGCAATTAGTAATGAACCAGACAATATTTGCCATTCACGGGTTAAAAACTAATGAAATTTGGAACCAATTATTTATCACACACGCACACCGTTGCACGAACCACACACACACACACACAAGCAGGCCCGTCATCGACGTATCGTTTCGTTCACTTTTCACTGGATAATTTTTTAACTTCTATCTGGATCTTTGGCACTCTTTTACGTCCACCTGCTCTAGGCATATTTTCTACTTACAGTTAATGGAAAATTGCAACCGCTGGCGCGTCCGTTCCGTTTTCCGCTTTTCTGGGCTGGGCTCGATTCGTACGGAAAACTACTATTTCCTTTTGTGTGTTCGTGTTCTCCCTCTCCAGCGATCTGTTTGCGTGCGAGTGACTAGCGCGGCGTTGCCACCCAGCCTCAGTGCTCCCACCCGGCTTGCCGAGCGAGTAGCGGATACACACCCCTCAGTTAGCTAAGACATGCTCTGCAGTACGAATTTGTTCCCGGTCACACTGTTTGTAGGGGTGAAAAAACATCGATGATGATTATGTTTTGCGATGGATGTTTTTTAACCTCTAGTTGCACAATATCTCAAACCTTTCTCATTGATATCGAAATTATCATATATCAACGCAGAACGACCGTTTACACTAGGCAATAGGCTGTAGGAAAACTGTTCTCTTCTTCGATTTGAAACAGAAATCGGGGAAAACAACAGCGGAGCTAACAAAGGAAATGTATATTTCAATACGTTTTTAGGCGAAATGTTGTTAATCTGCCATATAAACTTGTAACAGCTGCCTTGAAGAGCTTATACATTACATAAGGTGTAATTGATTGGATCTTTAATCATATTTTAATTTAATCATTACGGTCCCTGCAAGAACACCCTTCATGTTCCATACTCAACCGTTTCATTTTTGTCGCTTATTTGACGCACATCATTTTTTAAGCCTAGTGGAATATTCAAAATAGTCAATACGGCCACACTGTTGGCAACACGTGCACGATTTGCTGCATTTAATTTGAATTCGGTTCAATTTCTCGAGATTGTATTGAATCGGAGGAAAAATGGGCAAGAAAACCAAAGTTGGAAAAACCAGAAAGGACAAGTTCTACCAGCTAGCGAAGGAAACTGGACTTCGATCGCGTGCTGCCTTCAAGTTGATCCAACTAAATCGAAAATTTGGTTTCCTTCAGCAGTCGCAAGTATGTTTGGACCTGTGCGCAGCTCCCGGAGGATGGATGCAGGTGGCCAAGCAGAACATGCCGGTGTCCAGCATTGTAATTGGCGTGGATCTCTTCCCGATCCGCCCAATAGCCGGTTGCATTGGTCTGGTTGAGGACATAACCACCGAGAAATGCCGGCAGTCGCTGACTAAGGAGTTGCAATCGTGGAAGGCCGATGTTGTGCTCCACGATGGAGCTCCCAACGTGGGTCGCAACTGGCTCTACGATGCCTATCAGCAGATCTGCCTCACCCTCAACGCCCTCAAGCTGACCACACAGTTTCTGCGCAGCGGCGGTTGGTTCGTAACAAAGGTATTCCGCTCCAAGGACTACAACGCTCTGCTCTGGGTTTTGAAGCAGCTTTTCAAGAAGGTTCATGCCACCAAACCAAGCGCCTCGCGTAAGGAATCCGCCGAGATATTTGTGGTCTGCCAGGGGTACATAGCACCCGACCACATAGATCCCCGTCTGCTGGACTCGAAATATGTCTTCGAGGAGCTCGACCTCGACGCCAAGAAGAAGAGCAGCCTGCTTCATCCGGAAAAGCAGAAGCGCATCAAAGCCGAGGGATACACAGCTCAGGATATTGCTCTCCGCAACGATCTAGCTGCCACAGAGTTTATGCAAGCTGAAAATGCCCTAGCTGCCCTACAAGGCGTGGGATCAATTCGCATCGATGACAAACGAATTGCTAATCACAAAAAAACCACACCAGAAATCCTGGAGTGCTGTAAAGATCTTAAGGTCTTGGGCCGCAAAGATATTAAAGGACTTGTGCAATGGTGGAAAGACGTAAGGGAACTTCTTGTGAAAAAGGAAACACCACTGGTCGTCGGGGACCCCAATGCCGAAGAGGAAAAGGCGAAGCCATTAACACAAGCGGAAATAGAGGACATGGAAGACGCCGAACTTCAAACGCAAATCGACACAATTTTGGACGAGGAGAAAAAAGATCTGAAGCGGAAGCGGAAGAAGACGCTTAAAACAAAAGCGAAATTGCACGAGAAGATGAACCTCAACATGGTAATCAAGGGAGACGATGGTCCTGTCGAGGAAATGGAGCACGAAATATTTGAGCTCAAAAATATAAACACCTCTGCTGAGCTGGACGGTTTGCTAGATGTTCAGCCTGATTTTGCTGTGGACGAAAATCTTCCCGAGCAACCTAAGCTGTCAAAATACAAGTATTATGACAAGGATGAACAGAATGTAAATGATGATTTGAACTATGGGGACGAGGATGACGAAGAACAGAGCGAAGCTTCAGAAGACGACACCAACCTGGATAAACGGGGCCTGGGCCTTAGTGACGACGATGAAGAGGTTTCAAAAGGCAAAAACAAGAGGAAAAAACGATCCGAGAATCCACTCATTAAATCAACTGATTTTCGGGATAAAAATACTAAGCGGGAGCAACGTGTTCAGCTTTGGTATGAAAAAGATGTCCTCCAAAATATAAAGTCAGACGACGATGAAGAAAACTACGACCTAGATAATCTGGCTAAGGAATACAAGGCCAAGGGTGTGTCAGTGTTGGGTGAGAGCACCCTTACCGCGGATGACGAACTAATCCAAGGCAAGAAAGCCAAACGTCGCGCACGCCACGAAGCCACAGCAAAGGAAAGCAGCTCAGAGTCATCCGACTCCGAAGATGAAGATGACAAGCATGATAATGAAGACTCGGTTACAGGTTAGTATTAACAAATAAATGGCTTACTGAAAGTCATTCGAAATCTAGGTTGATAATGATAAAGAAACTAAATTGACATGCAAATAATTGATAATATTTTATTGTAAGAAAATAAGAAAGTACACTAAAGTTCAAGGAGAAAAGATACGATTATTATCCACTAGGATATTCAGGCTTAAAACCCTCACACAACGAAATCCTGGATCTTACCTAAGCATGTTCAATGTAGTTTAGATTTAAATAAATATCCTTCTTAAACATTTTCCCATTTTTATGTTTCAGAAACAAAGGTGAAAAAGGTTCGCTTATCCGAAAATGAGATGGCATTGGGTGCATTTTTAACCCGCAACAAGAAAACACGCCGTGACCTCATCGACGCCGCCTGGAATAGATATGCTTTTAACGATGAAAATCTTCCCGTTTGGTTTGTACAAGATGAGGATGAGCACATGACCAAACCACAGCCAGTTCCCAAGGAGCTAACCGCGGAGTACCAACGCAAATTGCAGGAGGTGAATGTGCGCCCAATAAAGAAGGTCATGGAGGCTAAGGCGCGTAAACAGCGTCGTTCCACAAAACGCTTAGCTAAGGCTAAGAAAATGGCCGAAAAGATAATGGAGAACAGCGATTCCACCAATCACGAGAAATCAAAGCAGCTTAAAAAGGTGTACAAAAAGGCTCAAGAGAAAAAGAAGGAGGTTACATATGTAGTCGCTAAAAAGCAATCAGCCGCTCGGCGAGCCCGTCGCCCAGCAGGTGTGAAAGGTCAGTATCGTGTCGTTGATCCACGAGAAAAGAAGGACAAGCGGTCAGTAGTAGCAAAAAAGAAACGCGAGAAGGGCGGAAAGGGCGGAAAAGGCCGGAAAGGAAGCCGCAAATAAAGCATAATATGTAAAAACAAATTTTAATGTAATATTTTATAGTTATTAAATATATGCGTACAAATCATATTGGATTTTTGCAGGATTGTGGATTATTTTAATTATTTTAAATTAACTCCATTGGTGCTATATATACTTTATGTACATTGTATACTATAAATGTAACTATACATTTAAAATAAGAAATTGGTAGTCCGTGATCATGGACTTATGGATTAATCGATCACAAAACTCATGCGCCTTTGTCTTCGGGAAAAATTATGTAAATGTCAAGCGAAACTTTCAAAACGCTTTTTTAAATCACGCTTTATATCAATAGTTTTCTATATCATACAATATGCAAATAAAAATTGTTGGAGGGGATTAATAAATAAATACATTTTATATAATTATAATTGATAGAAACTGAAAATGAAAGTTTAAATTTAAGTGTTAGGCGTGGCGTAACGATCTCAAATTACTCATACGACATGTAATTTCATGTTCAGTATATTTTTTGATCAAAGCCAACAGTACGTGTGAGTGAAACACTAAGGCCTATGCCCTGAAATGTTCATACAAATTTGGACCGTCCTATTGTGCATTGCTAATGGTGAATGTTTTTACTCTCCTTTTAAGTTAAAATTGGGTTCTATGAAAAGGGATTCCTGAAACCTAGAAGCAGATACAAAACAAGATACATACATATGTCACAGGCTTAAGCCTTGTAAATAACATTGCACGAAATAGATTTCCCATTGGCACATAATGGGAGTGAGCGAGAGGCACGATTCGTCGTGAAATGCGTTTAATTCAGAAAGCATATTTTAGTTTACAAATGCAATATGTTGTTAAAAAATGTTCCTCGGTTTTCCAAGAAACAATTTTTTTAAAGCTGGTGTAAGCCTAATTTTTTTAATACTTTCGTATTATTTTTCCGCTTATTCCCCTAAACAAGCTGACTTTTTAAAGTCTACCTATACTCACCCTTTGCTTCATACATATGTCCGTCTGCCTTTTCGTTATAACGATGTGAAGCGGTCTTTTATTTGACGATTGTTCCAAAATTGTAACCCCATATCAATAGCAAAACCACATTGTCTAAGTTTGCGGCTATACGGAGTACGCCGTTGAAGCTGGTGTATTATAGGTAATTCTAATAATAGTAAATAAATGCATACCGGTCAGTTAAATATTATTTCATTTCATATAAATAATTTTTATAAATGATATTTTGTTTACTATTCCAATACAATGCAACCAGTTATTATGAGTTCTTATTTTATGTATTCTAATAGTATACACATATAAATATTTTATAAAAAGGTATGAAGGGACTTGTAGATAAGAAGACAGTGCTTTTATTATCCGGTCTTCGCAATTTATTTTAGCTGATCATCTCGCGGTACTTCAGTTTATGCTTGGTCAACATATCCGTAACTGTGACAAGTTTCTTAATTGAAAGTATGTTAGATAATTCGTGAAGTTCTTGCGAATGTGATACGCAGATGTGATGTAACGTAGCCAGCTCGCGCCCTTAAAAATTACAAGAAAAATATGGTTATTTATTTGGTAAGACAGAAAGGTTAGCTTCGTAAACCGAAGCTTAAATTACTCCCCAGACTTAGCTCTGCTCTACAGGAATTGGTTTTTAATTGCGACAAAGTACAACCAGTCACGAATATATAGGTATCTTTTAAAAACTTTTTAACTTCTGTTATATATGTATTTATCAAATCAACTAAAGGAAAACAAATAAATACCATGCTGCAATACTAGTTTGATTGCAAATAATCGCACATTGCAAGCTATTGCACGTCGGTAGTAGTGACTAATCGCGCTGAACACTGTACGGAACAAGTATACACATATATATTAAGATTTCAGTCTGAGGATTTCAAAAATTGGATTTACATTTTTTTTCTAAATCGGAAAATTGTTTTCAAAATAATACGGAATATGGAAATTAAGCTGTCATTGGAACTATCCAATTATTTGTTTGAAAATTGACATTGCTGTATTATTTTTAATCATAAGCGCATAAATTCAAGATGTTTGGTCGTTGATATAGTCGATTTATAGAGTTATATATTTTTTTGTAGCTGCAAGGGTATATCAAGTTTGGCTTGCTGAAGTCAGCTTCTTTTCTTAATTTAATAAATTTACCCGTGTCTTGCGAATTGAGATTTGTGCTTTGTTCCACAAACATTCCAAGCGGCTGATTCGGATCGGTAACTAGGGATAGTTGATCCAAGAATACAATCATTCGTTCCTTGTTTTTTAAAATAAACGGATTGACAACCTCCATGTATTGTTCCTGAAAAATTAAAAAAAATATTGACTATGTGCAAAACAAATAATGATGCGAAAGAGAGTTCAAATCGTACGAACCTTGCCTCCAAATTCAATCAAGTTGGCTAGGTTTTGCAGACACTTGGCGACCATGACTAAAGAACGAGTGGCTGCCATAGGAGGCGTCTCACTGACCAAACCGAACTGGCGTGGGTTCAGCAGCGCTGGGCATAGTAGACGCAAGAATATAAACCCAGAGACGACTCGGGTCCGCACCAGCCGCTCTGTTGGCCACTTAGCCATCACAGCTTTCTGAAGACAGTTGCAAATAAAGCGCACATTTCGGGGACAGGCGTCCGGCGAGGTGAATATCGACTGTGTAACCAGATCCAGTATTTGCAAGAGGAATTCTGCGTTCGTGCAGGCGTCATCATTGACGTCCATTTTGGTTGGGTTGAGTTCAGCCGACTGCTTACTTTCCAGAATGCGCTGCACAGTTTCGCTGACGGCCGACTGCAGGAATCCGCTGCATTCAGTGCGCATATATAGGTCCATCAGTGTTGTGGCCAAGGAAGCGCCCCGGAAAAGCGTTGTCGTCTCGTTCTCGCGCGTCACCTCCGCCTGGCAAAGCATTCGGATCAATTCTGTTTCCCGCTTCTCCTGCCGGAACACTCGCAGCAGGGCCGTGGCCAAGGGGACGCGATCATTGTGGCAGAGCTCTGCCAGGGCCTTCACCGCGTAGAGCTCCGACTCCAGAAGCAGTTGCTGGAGGGGACTATACTCCTCACAAGGCATTATCAGATCGTCGAGGTAGCGCATACGCAGCCGCAACGAGCCCCACTCGCCCATCGGCGTCATGCCCGTGAGTTGGTACCAGCCCTCCGTCTCCTGCCCATTCTTCAGACTGGATAGTTCAATGGTTAGATCGGCGACTTCAGAGTCCTTGCCGCGCTTCCCGCGTGATATCAACGTTATAGTTAGGGAGACCACATCTGGCGGGACATCGCTGAAAGACAATAAATCATTATGACGCTTGAATTCTAAGGATTTTCGCAAAACGAATGCACCCAGAAATATCAAAGATATGGGCACAAGAACAATAATAAGAGGAATAATATGTAAGAGGACTTACTCTAGTACGAATTCCTCTTCCCACACGGGTTCAGGGGCAATTTTGACACGCGTTTTGCCCACTTTGACTTGATTAAGTGAAATACTGCAGTATGGATGTGGCACTAGTTTGAAGGGTAGGCGATGAGCTTCCAGCACGTGCAGGTTGAGACAACGGAGCTCGCGAAGTCGGGATACCTTCTTCTGAGCCCGACTCAACTGTGAGTCGCACTGCGCCTTGAGAGAGTTTATCCATTCCACATAGCTTTCCTGACTAGGAGCACAAAGATATGTAACTGTGGCCAGGCAGGGCAAGGCCCTCTCCACAATTTGAAAGCAGTAAGGTCGTTCCCAGAGGGAATCGTGGCATTGGTAGAGGTAAGCACATGACAAATCGATCAAACCCTTCGGTTTGGTTTTCTTGGGATTGTCATAGAAGCACAGTTGCGTCTCAGAGCCGTCATTGATCAAAGCGAAATAAAGTTGTTTCCACTTGGTCGTTTTGTCGGATTTTTTGTTTAAGTGCCCGTGGTGTTTGATGCCTTTGATCTTCTTAAGGCCGATTTGGTCACGGCATTCGCGTAGTGTCGCATATATCTTCTCAGCGGCTTTTTCCACGACGTATTGCTGATTAAACTCTGGTTGAATACCATTAACAACCGGATGATTGAGTGAGTGACCCTCTACAATTTGCTCTTTGCGGTATCGATTAATTACCGCGTCCAGGCATTCAAAAGTGCGCCCTCCCATCAAATATCGCACACCTTTCTTCTCTATACGAAAGCGTTGGATCTGGTTGTTTATGTGGAAGAAAAGAGAGTAATCGCCAGGGGAGTTGTCGCTCGGACGAACCAAAAAACTTCCTGGTCCAGCTATTAAGAAACAATTAAACATACAATTCAAATTTGAATCTGGGGTATAAACAAGGTACATACCTTTAACCAACATATCGACGGCTTCGTTTTTAGTGCAATTAGGATGAAACCAAGGAAACACGGTATTGGGATCGATAGACACATCCAAATCGTCCACAAGTTCCCTGAAAATCATTCCCTGCTCGCCAGTACGATGGGCAGTTACCCACAACCATCCATCGCCCATGTCATTGTGCACGAAGAAAATATCACCTTTTTGGAAACTCAGCTCGTCGGTCTCTGGCATTTTTGTGTAAGGCAGGATGGCTACGACGCGCTTCTTGTCATTGACTGGCTCTGGCGGAGCTACTGGTATGGTTAACCGTTCGCGCTTTAGTAAGTCGCTACATGAGGTGTAGTAGCCAACAAGATCGCTTAAGGAAATGAATTGTCGTCCACCAATGTAGAAGTCTCCGCACACGGCTGTGATCCTATGAAATACAATAATAGAATATATATAATCGAAGTGAAAAAAGTATACCGCTGTAGTCGATTTCACAATACAATCTTTGCGTCATCGAAGTCCCTAAAAACTTAGTAATAGCAAAAAAGGCACTTACCGAAAATGGTTTATGCCGGTGCGCCCATAATAACTTAGAACATAAGAGCCAGGCTTGCGGTCACTTTCCCGAACTGCTCAACATTAAGATGCAGCGGCAGAAATAAAATATTTTAGAACTATTTTCACCCTAATATACCAAGGTGTACGTCTACGCACCTAAATAGCTTCCCAATTTACTGCTTCCCCGCAGACGTGACTCAGCAGAGTAACGATCTAGTCGGCCATGGTACCATTCACTTTCCGGAGGAGCAATAATCGCTGGACGTTCGCCTGAAAGAAGGGTTTGTTAAAAACATAGAGTGAAACTTATTGAAAGGTAATTCGATAGTAAGTAAATCTAAAGTCATCAATATCATAATTTCAAACAAATTCTATAATTCAAATAACATTTACTGATACCTGTCATTGAAATCTCTTTTGAGTTGGTAAATGTAATTCTCAGGAGAAATAGTTTAGGGGATTAGACGGACTCCCAATAACTATCTATGTTCTACTACAAGTAATAATTTTAGAAAATAAATCAATCATTAAAGAAATAAAAACGCAAGCCAGAAAATATTGTAAGGAAAGTATAATAATTTAAAATTCTGCTTACCGTTCAGCATATGGGGTCCATCGAATTCATCGTGATCCAATTCCAGGGCCAAGTCACCCAGGTCAATGCCACCCGCAACCATTACGTTGCCCAAGCCACTCATGGCACCCAGTCCTGCTAAGTTTCCATCATCGGAACAGCCCGTGGGCGATCCGGGTTTGTCTTTCTGAATGACCACATCTATGTTTCCCAAGTGTATTAGGTCGGCCATGCTATGTTTATGATCTCTGTGCAGTGAATGAGAATCTAAGTCTATATTTAACTTCGAAGGGAATGCGTTTTAATAAGAGCCACATATAGCAACGATATGTTTGCGCTTAAGTAAGTGAATCGGGGGCTTTTCTGATTGTGTTAGGTTTTCCGTCCCGATTATGTGTAAAACTGTAAGAAAAACGAATAAGATAACTTAAATGCTTATCTACACATTCATTACAAGCATTATTTTAAGACTAATTAAGTTTTGCATTTTAAGGCGTTGCCTCCGTTCTTCGACAATGATATATTTTCAAACAGTTGTTAGCTCAGTTAAATCACAGATGCAGATGTCTTCCGCAGAACAAGGATTTATGAAACGCCGAACCTTATGGCGTTCATTTCACTAATTGGAAACGGCTTTAAAAATAACGCTACATAAAATATTTTAATTTTACAGATTTTATTAATTAAATACAGTTCTATAAATTAGGTTTTTTGTCGTCGTCTGCCTTTGCTAAGAGATTTTAAGTTTTAAATCTAAGTTTCTGTCAGATTATCACGATCCTAAGAGTTTTAAATACCAACTTTCAATTTTACAACAAAATTACTCGTTTGCGAAAAATGGGTTTAACAATGGCCGATTTTATTCACATACAAAATAAAATGTTACCCAGAATGAATAAGTTAATTTTAGATGGCTGCTACCTCGACAAGAGTAGAAGATCCAAGTTGCCAGATTTATATTGCGAGCTTTTTCCTCCTTTCTTTTTATTTTGACCCCTTAACGGAGTGGCGACTTAACTAATCCGCTGCTATTGGGGATATCTTTTTAGCAGGAGTGTCAGGAGATCTCTTATAAGAGGGAACTCGAGATTGTGGATTGCTTAATACTGTGAAGCTCGATCAAGCTGTATGGTTGTTGTACCTTCTAAAGCTGCAATTAGCTTTGAGTTTCCAGAGTGAGAGGTGTATCCTGTGAAGCTGTATTAATCAATGAGTTCCCAGTGTCAAATGCTTTACTATAACCGGTATTAAGTACATCTGTTTAATTCCACAGTGCTTCATGAAAAATATAACTACAGTGACTTCGGATTCTTAATGAACTCATCTAACCTAGCTAAAACCTATTATAATTTTAACATACAAAAAATATAATATGCTTTTTTCTGATATTTTCAATTCCTAACACTCTAGGAAAAACTTTTTCAAAAGGGCTACTTTGCTTTTATTTCCTTATGTTATGCCTACAATAATGGTAAAAGTATGAACATATGTACAAATTCAATTTTCCCTAAAGATATTTTACTACAAATCTTTAAGTCGCTATAAAATCGGAACACGAGCTAATCTGATGTCAAAATTGCCGTTGCAATCCAAAACCATAATCTTTTTCGAAACCAATAATTATGAACCAGAAGATGCCGGTAGATTTTGTATTCAAGAAATAATAAACAGCATGTAGAACAAGAACTACTTGAGGAGGAGGAAGAAAAACCTTCAACACAAGAAACTATTTGGAAATCACCAGAAGAAGAAATAGCCAAACGATGTTCAACGAGCCAGATGGCACAGCAACCATGACAGTCGGAGATCTACTGCAGATTCTAGGACACAACAGAAGTAAACAGGAGATATTATATATACATATTAAAAGGAGACAATGGTTAATATATACAAATTATTAACCATGATAATAATAAAATAATATATCAATCAAATAATAAGGGTTCATATCCGTTTTCCAAATTTCTCAGCATATAAGATTTCCATCATAAAAGTGGGGAACACAGGATTACGCGATTTGTGGACTAGGCAACCTTATTAAATTTAGTTGCTCTGCGTGCATATCTCTTTTTGCCAACTAATAGCGATTAAGGGCTTGCTCTCGTTGTTGAGTTAATGAGTCAGTAGTTGTTAGCTGCAGATAGACCAGTCGGACTTGGCGTAAAAACAATTCTCAACAAACATTAATAATAAGAGGATCCTGTTACTTCAGCTGATAATGCTTCTATCATCAGCTGTCAATTATTCCATCTTCTTTAACTGTTTGTCAAGCTGACATATTCTTAACTGGTAGATAACTATTAATTTGAATTGAAAAACCGCATTTTTTCATGTCCTTTTTTTTTTGGCATGCAAATAAAATCTACAAATCGTTCGGATCAGACAATATCTTATAGCAGACTGAATAGGGTATTATAATGTTGGTCTGATATTTGTAACGCGTTGGGCGTGTGTCTAAAATTTAAATACATTATATAAAGTGACCCACAGCTTATTTCAAATGAAATTAAAAGTCATAAAACCAAAAGGCAATAAAAATATTCCACAATTTTGATTGCAGCCTTTCAAGATTTTTTTTGTAGTGATTTTAAATATCTTGCAATAGCACCTAAAAGTATAAAAAAAACTAAATTATTAACAAATTGTGGGTTACAGCGAAATGGGCAAAAATTGGTGCCCTAATACACATATGTGTATTAAAATATATCTGAAACAACGGCATTTGCAAATTTGTTTGATTTATTTTATGGCTTATCTACGATTCCACTGCTAATTTGAATTTTAGCTCTGCAAGAAATAAGCAGTGTGCCACTGTACATACATTCATATGTACATATTCCTCATCGTCATCACCGGATATATTAAGGATATTTTGGGGATTATCAAAGTAGACGACTGTAGGGGAGCTTCTGTCGGGCAAACTTGGGCTTTCCCGAGTTATCTTTCCCGTTACTTATTAGTCTGGGGTGCAAGATGAGCGAGCCAGTCGTACATCCGTATGTGTATCGTTTTTTAACCGCTGGGACTGCGACTGCACCCTCTTGTTCATCACAGCTATCTAAAACACAAGCAATTAATACGAGCCACACACAAACTTTCGGTTCCGACTGAGCCCTTTGCCAAACGAGTAGAACACGCTCGGTTCTTTTCTTTACGGTTCATACATACACGAGCCAAGGAGTCACAAATTTCAATCTCGGTTGTGTTCTGTCTTTTGCAATGAATCATTAACACAAACACTCATTTCCTTTTCATATGGAGTGCCCAACAAACAAAAACCATCTACACAAAAGATTTGTCGGGCAATGCGCGTGTGTAAATATACATATACATTTCATTACTGCACCAAACCAAAACAACAAAACACTTTGTTGTGAACTTCCATTTATTATGAGCTTAATATATATATATTATAGTATTCATAACAATTTAATTTAAAACAAACCAATTTCTTCCGTACCGATAGCCACACCAATGATAAATTGTCCATAGAGGAGCGTGAAACATCGATGGAAACGTCGGTGTTTTCAAAATATCGGTACTATCGATGTTGGGCAGGGCGTCATCGGTGTTTTTTCACCTCTAACGAGTATTGAAAACATACTTGTCCCCGCTAAGTGCGGAGCGTGTCCCCGCTAACTATCGATAATCGGTGATGTATTTGCTAAAGGCGACGAGTTTCATATCGATAGCGGAGTTAACGCGATCACGCAGAATACCCGTTTACACTTAGTAAACTCGAGTATATGCGTTTGTACACAGCTGTTCTTTGTTTTGATTTGCAAATGTTAAGCCTAGTACTCTGATCGAAAAACTATTTCGCTAGCGAAAAAAATTTAAACTTTCCAGAGAGACCGAATTTTCGAGAGTTCGGATAATATGATAAGTGTACTACGGACTTACTGTCAATCAGCTGGGTTTGTTGACAAACAGAAAACTAAATAATCTAAAAAATGTTGAGTACAAACCAAAATACAATAACCTGAAGGTAGTCTCCAGTAATCTGATACCTCTACAATCATAACAATGAGTGCGAGTGTCAGCGAAACGACGATGGTGGATTAACCCTTAGATGGTTTAAAGGGTTTTATTTTGCCTTTAATAATAACAGGAGTTTTATTTGTTTTTTCATATTTTAATTTTTAATACTTTTAAATTAAAAATTATGAGTTGTTTTTTTTTTTTTGAATAGACAATGTTTTTTCAAGATTCTTACAGTACAAACCTACAAACATTGCTAAAATATAGAGCTAAGCATTTGACAATCAGTGTTGTTAAAATCAGTTATTAGTTATTTTTCTTTAATTTTGTCATACCCGCAATATATTTTCTTATCCTTTGCTTAAATTGAAGAGCAGTTGGATGGTCATTTTGTCCGCCGCTCGCTTGCATGGGGCCAAAAAATGTTTCGAAAATGTCTTGGTTAAGACGGCTTGTTACTATATAGTCCATCTGATAGTTTTTAGACAAATATGCCAGTAGACCATCAAGGGATGCATTATTGACCAAAATTCCGTTTTGGAAGGGCAGCCTTTGGGCTTTCCCAACTATATCATTGCGCATAATTTCAGTCATTTTAGTCAAAACGGCTCGTTGTACTTCAATCTGTTTACCATATGGCTGTGTTTTTTCGATAGAGTTGAAAACGTCGTACCAATCATTGAAAACTTTAAAAAGATCCGCGGTTTCGCACGCGTTTTCTACTTCATACCTTAATGATGCAGACCTAATGTACTTCGCTGTTGCATTTGAAAACAATTGAGTTGCCAATTTTACATTTTGTTCACCGAGCGAGCCAACACTGTAGTGGTTTTCGGTAATTTCCGGTAATAATGCGGACTCAATAATCTCATCGCAGGCGCTAATTGCCTGTCGAATTGTCTTCGTGGTCAATATTTTGCCGTTGATGACTAATCCGCTGTCAATATAGTGGATACGGATCAGTTTTATCAAATGTGGTGTATCCGAAAAAACATAAATGTTTAGTTTATCATCCGCTGGATTGCTAAACCAGGTTTTTGCTAAAACAAAAATTAATTAAATTTTTCTACTTATATTAATGAATTGTTATTTAAAACTTACTCTCGGATATGCCAAGCTGACTCCATAACATTTGATTTTCAGAGCTGAAGTCAGAGACAATAGCTACTACGGGATAACCTCTTATGTGCAGCTTCCTAATGATGTCATTCAGAATATCTGCGTTCATTTGAGTATCAAAGTCAAAAAATACTGGCTGGTTCCAAGATTTTTTCAACCCACGAACTATGACCAATTGGACGTAATTATTTGGTTTATCAACGATATCCGCTGAGCTATGATCAGCACTAATATTAATCTTATCGAAAGACAAAACGCATAGCTTATCCACTTCAAGCATTTCTTCGTTCTCCATGAGGTCCATCACAAAGTCCAGGGTACCCGTTTTAATAGGTTCATCTGCTAACCATCTATATAACGTGGCTCGACTCGGCAAAGGATATCCTTTTTTGTATAAATGGGTATATGCATGAGGACCCGCTGTATGAAGACAAATCGCAGCAGAAATGTCTTTAGAATTAAATGTGGCTCGCTTTCCTCCACTCTTTAATATTTTTATTTGAGTCTCCGTGAAAATTTGGGCTAAAGACATTTCCAACTCCTTATATTCCTCCAGCTGCTGGCAAAAAGAACGATTTTCCTTCTCCATCTCACGAATTCTTTTTCTAAGGCTTTTGTTCTCGACAAGCATTGTTGACCCTATTATATTGTCCCTGTAATAAAAATATATTAATGTTTCCCTGTAAGAATTTACTTACATGTTTAACTTACTCTGTTTGCGTGCTTGAATCGGCGTAGCCTAATTTTTGAATATTAAGTTCAGGTTCTCTCTGTGGAACAGCATCTTCGTTCAGTCGCCTTTTTTTTAAAGTCCCACCTCTTTGTGTTGTCGACTTCCACTGAGAAGACCCAAAGTGCGTTTCGCAAATTTTGGAATAATCGCCAAGTTTACATCCTAACGAGTCCTCCCACAACGCTCTTTTTTGTAAACATTTTGGTGACTTTATAAATTTCACGCCATCCACGTGTCTGCGGCATACATTGCAATATGTCATTTTGTATAATGGTTAATTGTTTACAAATTTCGTCCACAGACAACTAGAGCTGGAAATAACATCGGCGATGTATCGATACATCGATGTTTTCCAAAACTTGGGAAACATCGAGGTTTTCAAACATCGATGTTCGATGTTTCCTCTTTACCCATCACTGCTTGGCAGGAAAGAATCTTGGTAATCTAAACACATTTTTGATTAATTAAATAAAAAAAACTAAAATATACGTTAAAATTAGAATAGAATTCGATGTATCGATACATAGATGTTTTTTTTCTGAAAAACTTCGAAACATGTAGGTAAACATCGATGATTTTCCAGCTCTACAGACATCCTTTTACTTCAAAAAACGAACACGCACTGACCAAAACCCGAACGTTTAGACAGCCGACGAGACTAAAGCCTAGTATCCAGATCGACGAAACCCGTACGCCAGTCATGAGAGAGAGCGAGAGGCAAACAGCTACTCACATGTAAACTCCTGCAATCGACTTTTGCGGGTGTTTTGATTTTTTCCCTCCATTTATTAAAATTTTCAGTGAGAAGCACACTTCAAAAGATTACATTTTTAAATGTTTGCGCCAGGGTTCACCAAAAGTTCATTTCAGGTGGTTGGCAACGCGAAGTACTAACATTTGATTTTTAGAGCTGAAGTGAGAGACAATAGCTACTACGGGACAACTCCTTTTGTGCAGCTTTTTTATTACAGAATAGCGCCAGTGATTTGGACCTTTCGAGTGGATCAAAACGTTCGCCGACTGGGTTTACGACTCGGCATTTTAATTATTCATACAATTGCTGTTTTTATGATTTTTTTTCATATTTATTAATGTTTCCCCTTGGTTTTGTTCCGCTCCTCCCCAACACTCATTAAACATTGATGTACAATAGATTCTCGGTTCTGGAAAGCCCAGTAGAAAGTGTCTATCAGCATATTGGCGCACATAAAACGAAGCAGAAGAATATTTTCAGATTGTAAATTTGTTTTTGAGGAACTATGCTATTATCTCGGTGTTTTTTTTTTGGTTTCCAAATGATTTTAAAAAATATAAAGCGCATTTGTTGTTTTCCAAATAAACAAATACTTTCACTAATATTTAAGGCACAAATAAGCAATAAGAACATTCCAATTTTATAGTCCATACATATGTACACATATTAGGTGATCTGGTTTCTTCCGATTTTTGGCCAACGGACTAGAAATTAGGAAGGCCACGTACCATATATAGGGAATATGAACGTTCAGCAATATGTTAGGCTTCGTTGTTCCTTCAACTTATAGCTACATTTCAGTACACTTTTTAAATTCGTTTTGAGTTGGTCGAACAACTTAAGATGCTGAGACTATTATCCTACTTGCTTGGCATATTCATTTTTCCAAGTGTGCAAGGAGGAATTGGGTTCAATTCAAAAGATCCGTCGTTGTGCGTTGTCCTAGACGAACAAACACAATGCGGCTCATTTTGCCTGACCACACTCAACCCGCTTTTCGACCATTCTCGCAATATCATAAAAAGGTTGGATGAAATCGAGGCAGGGCAGACAGCCCTTAGGATGACAACGGCGCAAGGACAAAAGGATCTGCAGGCTGGACTCGATTCGGTACTCAAGCTGGCGGAAGAACAACATATGGCCGTGAATTCCGAAATAAAGAACCAATTGCAGGAACTCATCTCAAAAGAAGACTTGATTGAGACAACAAAGTCAGAACAATCTAGTCAGATTTCGGAATACCAAATAATACTCAGGGAGATGGAACCATTTAAGGTGTCATGTGCGTCGTCTCCACCTGGTTGGACTGTAATTCAGAGACGCATTGACGGATCCGAGAACTTCAATCGAACTTACAAATGGATTTGCGAATGTCGGTGGAGAATTTTTCATCGGGTTGGAAAGATTGCATCGGATGACTGAGGCACGACCCCAGGAACTCTATATTAAACTTGGGATGGTTAATGGATCCACCAGCTACGCTCATTATGATGCCTTTAATATTGGGTGTGAGGAGGAATACTACAAGTTGAAGAATCTAGGGAAATATTCTGGTGATGCCGGAGACTCCCTGACATTCCATAAGAACCAAAAGTTCTCCACATATGATCGGGATAATGACAACACTGAAAGAAATTGTGCCTCCTTATTTGGTGGATGGTGGTACGATCACTGTGGATTCAGGTAAACCTGCTTATTTATGCTCTTATTAAATCTGTTTACTATAACCACTTAAAATTACAGTATGCTCAATGGAAAATACTTCCAAGATGGCAGAGGCAGTTTAGGAATTATGTGGGGTTTATGGCATAACAACGACTGGAATATATCACTTACATTCGTTGAGATGATGTTAACGCCCAAGTTCTTATGAGTCGCACTGTTTAAATAAAAATCATTTGAATCTTAATCCAAATTCAAAATCTATACTGTACTCCTAATGGTTTCTGGTATTGATTTGATTTTCTTTTATATAATGGGAGAGTCGTGGTTGAGATTATTTTACAACTGATCTGCGTATATTAGGAACATAAACTGGAGAGAGTTGGTATGGTTTTCTTAAATTTTGCTAAATTTGTGTTAACAGGAATCTGTCAGTGCGTTTTTGGGTGCTCCCAAAAAACCTGAATCCGGACCCCGGGCAACATTCATCCAACGGCACTCCCTATATAAACGATGGGGACTATGCAAGTTTCCGCTTAACTTTTCATTCGGATGCCGTCTACCATTGTTATTAAATTGCGTATTTACAAATTTTGTATTAAGTCATTTTGATGGGTATGTAAGGGAGTTTGGGGAAATGATCTGGATAGGGATAATTTCCAGCCTGAAGACACTATTATTCTTGGGTCCGCACCCAAAGTTCAATGCAAAGAACAAAAAAAAGTTAAAAACAACAAAGTTTTACTTTTTAAAATTGTTCCTATGGGAATCGCCCGATCCGGATCGTTCCGACTTATATACTACCTGCAATAGAAAGACAACTTTTGGGAAAGTTTTAAGCAGAAATTATAATACCCTCTGCAAGTGTATAAAAATATATGTAGAGTTTAGAGCAATTGTTTGCGAAGATCCTGCAAGAGTTTATGTGCCTGTCACATAAATCACATCACGCCTGGACATACATCCAGTTATGGAAGTACAAAGTGCTTGCAGGTAGCCAACAAAATTAATTCAGCTTTAACGTATAGCACAAAGTGTGAGGATATGATAACTGATGAAGATTTTCGCAGTAGAAAGTATCCAACACATCACACTGTTAAATACTTAAGTGTTCAGTCAGCTTTTGAGAAACTGGGGATTTTAATGGTAACACAAGTTCCCCTTGATTGCATGTATCTGATAGAATCGGGTGTCATGCGAAAATTTCTGCAGACTTTATTATAATAAAGTTGTAGAAAAATGTTCCAACATTGAAAAGAGAAATATTTCAAAAACTTTAAAATCAATGATTAAATGTATTCCAAAAACGTTTGCACGCAAACTGAGAACATTGTTAAAGCCCCCAAACTCGAAAGCCACAGAGTTTAGATAGTTTTTATTGGATACTGCAATTGTAGCCCTTAAAGATACAGTTAACAAGAAAGGAAGCAAACTTCGGCAAACCGAAGTTTATATACTCTTGCAGTTATTACAAAACGAGTACATTTCGATTTCTACGCCTATATTACTAAAAACAATAAAGCTATGTCGATTTCCCGATGCATTTTGCAATCGTTTCTATGGCAGCTATATGATATTGTTTGTCCGATTTTGACAAAACTAAAAGCGTAATTCTGATAAAGTAAATAATTACTATATCTCAAAGGAATATTTTAATAAATAGAAAAACTGCATTAGACATTTTTTTTTCATTTTAATTTTTTTAATGTTTCTATGGAAGCTATATGACATCTATAGTCCGATTTTAATTTAATTAAAACCGCAATTCTGTAGTATTTAAATATTACCAAATCCGAAAGAACAAAAAAAATTAAAAACTTTTTTACATTTTTTTTCCGATTGTTCCTATGAGAGCTATATGATATAGTCGCTCGATCCGGCTCGTTCCGACATATATACTACCTGCAATAGAAACCAGATAGCTTTAAAACTGAAAGACTAGTTAGTGTAGAAACGGTCGGACGGACAGAAGGACACGGCTAGAACGACTCTCCTGGTGATGCTTATCAAGAATATATATACTTTATAGGGTCGGAGATGTCTCCTTCACTGCGTTGCAAACTTTTTACTGAAATTATAATATATGCAAGGGTATACAAATGGGCAATTGTATCTTTGTTATTTAAGCTAATGAGGGTAACAGTTACTTTATGCTTAACATGTTTGAAGACTTTTCTATAGCGTTGCAGCTCTTGTATCGATTCGAAAAAGAAGATTTGAGTTCAATTATTGTAGTTCAGTGCTCTCCCTTTCTGGCTTCTGGGACATCACAAACGCCGGAATAGGATCCGGAGCCGGGGTCGAGCTCGTGGAGGCGGATTCCTTCGCGAACGACCCGGGAAAGTTGTCCAGCTTGCTGGCCACGTCCTCCACCCGGCAGCACTGCACCAATCCGTAGGCGGGGAACTGGTGGAGACTGGCGAACAGGCTGTTCTTCAGCCAGGACACCTGGTTGCACATCGAAGAGCACAGCTCGGCGGAAATGTCGCTGCGGAACTGCAAGAGTTAAGGGATTTTTGTTTGGTGAATCGAAAGATTCGCTGCGATTGGTCCCATATACATACAAAGGGGGAGTTGTGGCCGATGATGACGAACTCGTCGTCGACGCCTCCGGTTGACTCCAGGGCGTGGACATGGGCCCAAATGTGGGCGGGAGCCGGCACGGAGCCGCCGTCCGTTAGTTCGAAGACCAGCGAGCGGCTGGCGTTGCAGGGTTGCCCCACATCCAACGGCAGCTCCAGTACTCCGGAGACGCCCAGTCGGACGTCAAAGTGGACACCGGCTCTGGTGGCCTCCCGCATCGCCGTCACCCAGCGCTTCCAGTTGCCGGAACGCAGGGCGCTCAGCCAGGTGGTGGTCATCATGGCCTCGTAGCCGTCCAACTGGACGCCAACAGCCTCGTCCTGAACTAGACTGGCGGACTGGAAGCCTCTTCCCTGGAACAACTGCGACAGCACCTCTTTCTTCACCAAGTAGGCGTCGATTTCGGCCTGGCTGCTCAAGGAGACACAAGCTAATGACTACAGGACAATTTTGAAGGCCGGAGAGTATTTTAATAACTTATGAACTAGACTCTCAGACACAGACAGTCACCGAATTTCGTAACCCACCTGATGGACTTGATTAGGTTCTTGCGGTAGTTTACTTTGATGTCCAGTCCGATAGAATTTAGCTGACCCAATTGCGTCTGTAGCAGGGAAACCGAAACAGATATAAAGCTTTTACAACTGCGAGATCTCGGAAATAACAATTTCGTAAGTCATACCTTTTGCAAAATCAGGTTCTTCTCGGGGAACGTCGTGTAGCCAATGTATTTCATCCGGGAGGCGACAATATCATAGCACAAGGCGGCACTTTTCATTGTCCCCATTTCTTCGAAGTCATGACCCAAAACGAGAGTCATGTCGCCTTCGCAGTTGGGCAAACTGGTCCTGCTCTCAAACAACTGCGACACTCCCTTCTGGCACTGAACAACAAGGTTTTCTAAGGGCTCTCCATCGCTTGGAATTATAAAATAATCTGAATCGCAACTCAGTGAAACCTTATTCTGATTTATTGATGTATATTCCTCATTGTTGCTAAGCCCGAAAAAAATAGATTTCAATACAAATTAATAAAACACCTTTTTGTATAAACTTGCAGTCGCTTAAACATTAACTTCCCAATACACTATAGGTACTTGGACCGATTGGTAAAATAACATAATGTCTTCCGTTTTAAATAATACTCAAAATTAACAGATTTTGACCGGTATTCGTTAAATATCTATCGACACTCAATAAATTGTTCAACCATTATTTTAGGAATTATTTTGCAGGGGTATGAAAATAAGAAATCAAGGTTTCAAGGCAATGCCAATTTAATAGGTGTCAAGCTGAAAGTAGTGTCAAGTATGTAGTGACGAATATGTTGAAAAACAACGACGCTCTGTCGATTTTCCTTTTATCATCCGATCTGATTTGTATTCAATTTAAACTGTATGTCAATAAAACATATCTCGGGGAATTTCCGTACATGTTTAAACCCAACGTAGTTCTGTGTATTTTCATGCTATTTTCCTATTTATTTTCCGATCTTTCCTATGGCAGCTATATGGTAAAACGATATTTATAAATCGAAAACCTTATTTCTGATGTCGTTAAAATCTGCTATATCTCGAAGTATATGGGTATATGTTAAGAAACAACGAAGTTTGAATTCTCTTTTTGCTGATTGTGCCTATGGGAGCCATATGATATAGTCAACCGATCCAGTTCTTTCCGACATATACAGTACCTGCAATAGAAAAACAATTTTTTGGAAAGCTTCATCCAAATGGATTGATCACTGAGAGACTAGTTTGTGTAGTAACAGACAGTAAGACTGGCGGACAGACGGTGATCAGGAATATGTATACTTCATACTCCTTCACTGCGTTGCAGTCTTTTGAATGAAATTAACATACTCCTGCAAGGGTATAAAAACACAAAGAAATCACAAACTTATTTCACTGACAACTAATTGACTATGTCAAGATTTGCACAATATAAGTATATGTCTTGAAATTATTTAGGTGCGGAAATTTTGGAAACAAGTTTTTATTGCCTTACAAGCTTCTGAGCCTTCTGCAAATTCTTTTCCACAATTAAATTAACATACACTCTGCAACCCACCTATATTTGAACAAAAATCCACTGCCGCAAAACAACTCAATAGTTTCGCCTTCATCACGTTCATGTATCCCACCAGAATTGGACAACAATTGCTTGGAGCCAAAAGTCGTAACGATAAGGGGGGCGGTGGGTGTGGTCTCAAGTTGACAGGATCCAATCACATCCTGGGGCAGTCCCCAGAGAACTGAAAGACCCAGGAATAGGCGGAGTAACGACCACATCGCGACGCCTTTAGAACTAAACTGATCTTGCCTCCCAATGCAACCCCTAATTAAAGGGTCGAATTGCCGATGGAGCAGAATTTCGTATGGCACTTGCGGATTCGTAATCGTAAGCGCATTTCTGACGAGTGCAGCGCTAAAAGCGATAAGCGATGGGTTGATCTCCTTTGCTCTAAAAATACAAAATAAATAAATATATATATATGTATATATATATTTGTCTTATCTTTATAAATAAGGCAAACGGACAATTATTTGTGTATATATGGCTAAAGCTGCTTGATTAGTTTTCCACAGATTGCTTACAGTTGAAAGATGAGAGTGTCGATAGGACCATTAATGCTCAATTAAATTGTCTGTATGTATATATTCTACATACTGTGCACTAGGTGATAGCATTTATATTTAAACTCTTGCTACTTGTTTTACTAAATAAATGACAGTTCGCAAATTAAATCAACAGATTGTTGGTGCTTTTAGAGATTTTACTGTAAACACAATATTGAAAACATAAAAATTCTGCAAAAATATGATCAAGTACTACTTTTCTCTGTTTAAAAGTGTGTAACTTATCTTAAGGCCAATAGAAGTGGAATGGTTGACACATTTGATCACAAATGCAACCGATTTTTGCATTTATATATTAAAGACATATATTTTTATTATTTGAAAATAAAAGAAGAAAGGAAAGCTAACTTTGGGCGGAGCCAAAGTTGATATACCCTTGCAGAATATTCTGTAAATTATATTCTCCAAAATTATTCATATGCTGCATTCTTAATTCTCATAAAAAATCCCAACTTTCTAACTTTAAAAACACCAAAGTTATGGCATTTCCGATCAATCAGTTATATGACAGCTATAGGATATAGTCGGCCGATCCCGTCCGTTCCGACGTATATACTGCGTGCAAAGGAAAGAAGGGTGTGTGCAAAGTTTCAGTTCGATATTTTTAAAACTAAGAGACTAGTTTGCGTAGAAACAGACAGACGGACAGACGGACATGCTTATATCAACTCAGGACGCGATCCTGATCAAGAATATATATACTTTATAGGATCGGAGATATCTCCTTCACTGCGTTGCACACTTTTGACCAACATTTTATATATATACCCTTTGCAAGGGTATAAAAATTTGTGCCAAATGTCGACTATATTGTATTGATAAAATTTAAGCAATTTTGGTAATATTTAAATATTATGGAATTTCGGTTTTAATTAAATTAAGATCAGACATTTTTATCATAAAGCTCCCAAGGAAAATCGAAAAATGAAAAAAATAAGATCCAATAAAATTTTTATTTTACTGTTTTTCTGTTTATCAAAATATTCCTTTGAGATATAGTAATTATTTACTATATCAGAATTACGCTTTTAGTTTTGTCAAAATCGGACAACCATATCATATAGCTGCCATAGAAACGGTTGCAAAATGCAGCTTACAGAAATCGAAAAGCAGATAGTAAGGGATAGTAAGTTTTAAAAATGAATTTAATATACATAATGTATGTGCATACATATTTGTAAAAAAAATAGAACTCGAGAAGAGGTTAAAAGCGGACAGCCAACCCATGTTTGATCAGATGACGGCTCTGACCAATGCCGTAGGGACACTCATGAATTATAATGTCAAGCAGTCGTCGAGGTCAGAGTCAAACACGTTCGAAAAAATGCAAGAGTTATTTCCTATCGACACGGACGAGAAGCTTTTGGAAGTGGACAACAATATTATTCTGGAAACCGAAAAATATGTATGTTTTTTATTGCCCAAACTGTACATATATATACTTGTATATACTAATATATTCATTTTCATTTGTTCAGCAAAATGACATGGTAAGGGTTCTGGGTCAACAAAAGTTGCAGCCAGCAAAAAAAAAGGTTAAAATCATTCCCCAATTTTTTTTTGCAGTTTAATGAGTAAGTTTGAATGATTGAATGATTTTTTTTCTTTTACTAACATTTTAATATTTTAGATGCCATCGGTCATTTTAGATGCCATTAGCCGGAGAAGGCACTAACCAAGGCAATGAAACGCATTAATAACCTGCACGCAGTCAGGAAAAAGGTGCCTAAAATATATGAGACCCCCAGCACTTCCAACACCCCATCATCCCCAACACCCGCGATACCCCTTAAATAGGAAATAAATTAGTTTAAGTTAAATATATAGTGAAAATTTGATGAAATTAAAATAAATTTATATGGAAATATACTGATGAAAATGTGATTAATTACTGATGAAATAGCAATGAATTACTGATGAAAATGCGATGAATTACAGATGAAAATGCGGTGAGAAAGGGATCAATTACTGATCAACTGCGAGAACTCCCCACACTATTGCTTGTGCCTTGCACATGTTTGTGGTGGTGAGAAACCACCATGGCTCATGGCTCTCAGCAGAGCTTTGGCAGAGGGGCGGGCAAACACCAAAGTAATGGCACTTCCGATCAATCAGTTATATGGCGGCTATAGGATATAGTCGGCCGATCCCGGTCAAAACCGAAGCCAACTGGCGCAGCAGGCGGCTTACAAAAATAGTTGTCATTAGGAACATGTCATATAAACACAATTAATTGAACCTAGCAAAACGACATCTGTGGCTTTTATCAGGACTTTCAACGAGAGATACGACCATAAACATAAGCTGGTTGACAGTTCTTATATAGGCAGACATACCAAAAACCAAAGCAAAAAAAGATTGCAACCATGTCGAAGCGCCAGCGCGAAGGACTTGATGCCCCGGCCAAGAGGGCTGCCAAAAATCGGTTCAAGAAGCTCGTCCGCACCGTGATCCTGAACATGCAGTGGCTGAACGAAGCCACCGAGGACACGGGCATTTCGCTGAACGTGAAGAAGAACGTGGCCATGCTGGTGCGACAGAAGCGCAAGGTCGGCATGATGACCATGGCCGTAAGTGCTGAGCAGTACGCTGAACGCTCTGTGAGCCCAGAGTAATCCCCATACCCCTCACCGAATTCCAGGAGAAATCCCTCCTGCGCACTCCGCACTCCACGCGAAGCGTCGATGACAGGAAGAAGTTATGCAACATTGTGGCGAACCTAGCATGCTTTTCCAAATTTCCGCCAGTGGGTAGTCCTCTGATTGATTTCTCATTTACCACTCGTTATTGGGTCGTTCTCCTGTAGAAAGTACGCGCCCGCCTGGTACCGCATGTCAAGTTCATGGCGGTCACCCCCGGACGCGTTATCATGAAGGAGGGCGATGTCCCCGTAACCATTTATTTTATTATCGCAGGAGAGGTGGAAATGTCTAGGAATGTATTAAACAAGGTAAAATGTTTAAATCGTATCTGTGCTACTTAACGCGACAATGATACAGTCAGCACAAAATTTAATCGTACACCCATCACTTTTGATTTTTAACTTCTAAGGTAATTGGTAAAAACAAAACAAACAAGAAAGGAAGCAAACTTATATGCCCTTGCAGTTAATACAAATCGACTACATTTCGATTTCAATGCCTATATTACTAAAAACAATAAAGCTGTGTCAACTTTGCGCTACATTTTGCCATCGTTTTTATGGCAGCCAAATGATATTGTTGTCCGATTTTTTAAATATTTAAATTTTACCAAATACCAAAGAACACAAAAAAATAATTTTTTTGAATTTTTTTCCGATTGATATATATATATCAATATTGATATATATGATATAGTCGCCCGATAAGGCTCGCTCCGACTTATATGCTACCTGCAATAGTAAGACAACTTTTGGGAAAGTTTTAAGCAGATAGTTTAAAAACTGAGGGTCTAGTTTGCGTAGAAACGTACGGACGGACAGACGGACATGGCTATGGAAATGTCTCCTTCACTGCGTTGCAAACTTTTGACTGAAATTATAATACCCTCTGCAAGGGAATAGATATTATTATTGTTTTTTATTAAATTGTTGAGATATTCAAAATGTAACGTTTTAAAGTTAAATATCTGTTGTTTGTTTTTGTGAAGGCCACAAAGGTCTATGAGCTACAATCAGAGGCTATCTTTGGACCCGGCGATTGTATTGGCGACATCGATGTCATGGAAGATTCGCCCAGAACCAACACTTACGTCGCCACAAGTAAGCTTCGTAGTTTGGAATTGAGTTCAATGGATTAACCAAATCTAGTTTTCAGCTAATTGCGAGCTACTAGCTGTATTTAACACAAACTACAAACTTGTCCTTCAGCCCTTTATGCAAAAGCTGTGGAAGGAAAAGAAGGCTGCGCTTCGGGCTCTAGACTATTTTAACTTTCTTAACGAAGAGCAGGTGAGTGCTGGAAAATAAACCTATCCGAATTGCGACATAGGCCCATATCCACTGGCTCAGATCGTAAACGCCAGCAAGTACGGGACCATTCAGCAGTTCGATCCGTTGGAGACAATCTACACCGAGGACTTGGGCTCTATGAGCTTTGTCTACTTTGTTCTTAGCGGCGAGTGCGTCGTGCTCCAGTGCCTTCACATGAAGGTCTGTTATGTGGCCACATCCGATCTGGCCGGACTACTTAATTCCTCTTCCCCTCCAGGTGAGCATGGTCAAAAGGGAGAAGGTATTCGAGCTGGCATTGGTGCCTAAACGGGAGTCTGGAGCCCTGAATATGGATGACGGTTCTAAGACTAACAACGAGCCGTTTTTTGACGTAAACGAATACATGCAGTCCAGTTCATCGGTGGATGAGAGCAACCAAAGCAAGAAGAGGGGGGTGAGTGCTCAAAGCTGGTGGTAAACGATACATCAGGCGGTCTGGAGCATGTGTACATGTAAACCATAAGATCCACATCTTACTGAATTTGTATTTTTCACCATGGTTTATCATTTACAACCAGCAAATGATATATATTACCCTTGAAGAGGGTATTATAATTTTAGTAAGAAGTTTGCAAAGTAGAAATTTTCGATCATATAATGTATATATATATTGGTCAGAAGCATTAGCCTAGTAGTTCTAGCCATGTCCGTTAGTCCGTTTCTACGTAAACTCTTTAGTTTTAAATCTATTTGATCGAAACTTTACCTAAAATCTTATTTATAAATGTATGTTGAAACCGCCAGGATAGTTGCCAAATTTTCGATTTCAGAAATATCGTTTTAAATATATAAAATTTTTACATATAGCTGCCCTAGAAACGATAGGAAAACAAGAAAGGAAAGCTAACTTCGGGCGGAGCCGAAGTTGATATACCCTTGCAGAATACTCTGTAAATTATATTCTCCAAAATTATTCATATGATGCATTCTTAATACTCATAAAAAATCCCAACTTCCTAACTTTAACAACAACAAAGTTATGGCATTTCCAATCGTTCAGTTATATGGCAGCTGTAGGATATAGTCGGCCGATCCTTATGAAATTTGATAGGTCGGATTGATTGGCCAAAAATAAAATCCATAGAAAATCCCAACTTCCTAACTTTACAAACACCAAAGTTATGGCATTTCCGATCAATCAGTTATATGGCAGCTATAGGATATAGTCGGCCGATCCTTATGAAATTTGGTAGGTCGGATTGATTGGCCAAAAATAAAATCCATAGAAAATCCCAACTTCCTAACTTAACAAACACCAAAGTTATGGCATTTCCGATCAATCAGTTATATGGCAGCTATAGGATATAGTCGGCCGATCCTTATGAAATTTGGTGGGTCGGATTGATTGGCCAAATATAAAACCCATAGAAAATCCCAACTTTCTAACTTTACAAACACCAAAGTTATGGCATTTCCGATCAATCAGTTATGTGGCAGCTATAGGATATAGTCGGCCGATCCTTATGAAATTTGGTAGGTCGGATTGATTGGCCAAATATAAAACCCATAGAAAATCCCAACTTCCTAACTTTACAAACACGAAAGTTATGGCATTTCCGATCATTCAGTTATATGGCAGCTATAGGATATAGTCGGCCGATCCCGGCCGTTCCGACTTATATACTGCGTGCAAAGGAAAGAAGGGTGTGTGCAAAGTTTCAATCCGATAGCTTTAAAACTGAGAGACTAGTTTGCGTAGAAACAGACAGACGGACAGACGGACAGACGGACAGACGGACAGACGGACAGACGGACATGGCTATATCAACTCAGGAGGTGATCCTGATCAAGAATATATATACTTTATAGGGTCGGAGATGTCTCCTTCACTGCGTTGCACACTTTTGACCAAAATTATAATACCCTCTGCAAGGGTATAATAATGGGAAAGTCGACACAACACCGATTTTATACCCGTTATCCGTGGCGTAAGTATATTGCATTCGTTGAAAAGTATGTTACAGGAAGAAGAAAGCTTTTCGACCCCATATTCGGGTGAACTTCCATTTAGCTCCAACCTCCGATTTTGTTCAAGCTTTCCATATCCATTTTTTTTGGTGTTCTGATTATTGAGAAAATGGACAAAGTTGGCTGTTTTCCTGAAAGAAGCCGTTAAAGCGAAAGATATTTAAAAAATACATGTTTTAGTCTTATACATATTTCTGTAAGCCTTAAAGTTTTTGAGAAAAACTCACTATTCCACAATCTCTTGAAAATCAAATGTCGTTGGAGCAAACTTGCGTCATTATGCACGATATATCGCACGGAAGCTTACCTTTCTATCGATGTGTCGTTATTGAGATCAATGTGTTAGAGATGGTGCTTCCGGTTACGAGGATCGCTAAAAAAATGATTTTAGAATTATAAAAAATTAGAAATTATAAAATCGGAATCAACAAAATAAAAATATTGGACCTTTGTCCGTTTCAGTAATGGAAGTTGACTACTAAATAAAATTACAAATTATAAAAAACAATGCATTAACAAAAAAATATATAACAAGAAAGAAAGCTAACTTCGGGCGGAGCCGAAGTTGATATACCCTTGCAGAATATTCTGTAAATTATATTCTCCAAAACCGGATCGGTTATTCATATGATGCATTCTTAATACTCATAAAAAATCCCAACTTCCTAACTTTAAAAACACCAAAGTTATGTCATTTCCAATCGTTCAGTTATATGGCAGCTATAGGATATAGTCGGCCGATCCTTATGAAATTTGGCAGATCGGATTGATTGGCCAAAAATAAAACCCATAGATTATCCTAACTTCCTAACTTTAAAAACACCAAAGTTATGTCATTTCCAATCGTTCAGTTATATGGCAGCTTAGGATATAGTCGGCCGATCCTTATGAAATTTGGCAGATCGGATTGATTGGCCAAAAATAAAACCCATAGATTATCCTAACTTCCTAACTTTACAAACACCAAAGTTATGGCATTTCCGATCAATCAGTTATATGGCGGCTATAGGATATAGTCGGCCGATCCTTATGAAATTTGGTAGGTCGGATTGATTGGCCAAATATAAAACCCATAGAAAAGTCCAACTTCCTAACTTTACAAACAGCAGAGTTATGGCATTTCCGATTAATCAGTTATATGGCAGCTATAGGATATAGTCGGCCGATCCTTATGAAATTTGGCAGATCGGATTGATTGGCCAAAAATAAAACCCATAGATTATCCTAACTTCCTAACTTTAAAAACACCAAAGTTATGTCATTTCCAATCGTTCAGTTATATGGCAGCTTAGGATATAGTCGGCCGATCCTTATGAAATTTGGCAGATCGGATTGATTGGCCAAAAATAAAACCCATAGATTATCCTAACTTCCTAACTTTACAAACACCAAAGTTATGGCATTTCCGATCAATCAGTTATATGGCGGCTATAGGATATAGTCGGCCGATCCTTATGAAATTTGGTAGGTCGGATTGATTGGCCAAATATAAAACCCATAGAAAATCCTAACTTCCTAACTTTACAAACACCAAAGTTATGGCACTTCCGATCAATCAGTTATATGGCAGCTATAAGATATAGTCGGCCGATCCTTATGAAATTTGGTAGGTCGGATTGATTGGTCAAATATAAAACCCATAGAAAAGTCCAACTTCCTAACTTTACAAACAGCAGAGTTATGGCATTTCCGATTAATCAGTTATATGGCAGCTATAGGATATAGTCGGCCGATCCCGGCCGTTCCGACTTATATACTGCGTGCAAAGGAAAGAAGGGTGTGTGCAAAGTTTGAATTCGATATCTTTAAAACTGAGAGACTAGATCGCGTAGAAACAGACAGACGGACAGACGGACATGGCTATATCAACTCAGGAGGTGATCCTGATCAAGAATATATATACTTTATAGGGTCGGAGATGTCTCCTTCACTGCGTTGCACACTTTTGACCAAAATTATAATACCCTCTGCAAGGGTATAACAAGAGAGAACGCTATAGTCGGGTGCCCCGACTATCAGATACCCGTTACTCAGGTAAAGAGAGTGCGAGGGAGATGGAGATAGAAACTTTGATCACGCATAACTTTTTAACGAATGGTCCGATTTGAAAAATTTGAAAACTTCTACATTTCGATAGGTATTGATAAACACAATAAAACTGCATTTTTACCTTTCCGAACTATTTAAATTTTTAAAATCGTATATAAGCGATTGTGGGCGTTAAAGGGGGCGTGGCACCTTTTTGAAACAAACTTGCGCTGCGTAGGAACTCCTAGAATCTGCATGCAAAATGCCAATTCTAGCTTTTATAGTTTCCGAGATCTCAGCGTTCATACGGACGGACAGACGGACATGGCTATATCGACTCGGCTAGTGACCCTGATCAAGAATATATATACTTTATAGGGTCGGAAACGCTTCCTTCTAGCTGTTACATACTTTTGCACGAATACAATATACCCTTTTACTCTACGAGTAACGGGTATAATTACCGTATTCACTTCAAGCATAAAGAAATGAAATAGAGTACTATACAATTTAGTAAATAGGACCTGGTGGAACAACATCAGGGCTGTTTAAACTTTGGCTTACCGAATTTAGATTCCTTTCTTGTTTTTCTCGTTTGACAGCTGCGTAAAATGGGCCTCAAAGAGATACAGCGCGCCTGTGCCGATATGAAGAAGTCGCCGACGAGGAGATCCACCAAGGACCAAGCGCGGCAGCGGCAACGCCAGCGACAGCGGCAGCGGGAGGGAGAGCGCCAGGTGGAGCGCGAGGAGTACGAGTTCTACATAGGGGGCGAGGGCGAGGAGTCCTACGATGGCTCCGAGGAGTTCGCCGAGGACCGGTACAGTGAGCATTCCGGCCGGCAGTCGCCCGTGCCCGTGCCCGTGCCCGAAACCATCGAACTGGGCATAGAGAGCGAGACGGAGGGCTCGGAAATATTCACCGCCTCGAACACCTCGCTGCTTGAAACCGTCGAGGAGAGGGACGACCTGCAGCACTATGAGACGCATTTCATTGACGTTGGCTCACTAACCTACGGCGGGATCTTCGGGTTGGGCGAGAAGATGGATCACCGCGTAATTATGGCGCGGACAACGGTGCAGTGCATCCTGATACCCCGCTTCTGGCTCTTTGAGGCCGCCCAGAATCCAGGTAACATTTGGCAGAGGCAGCGTTTCTATATCGAATGCAATATTCCAACCAGGGAGGACTTGTTTAAGGACTTCCTTAAGACACGAAAGTGGGAAAAGTTCAGACATGACTATATCCAAAACATACTAAATTCGGATTCTTTGGCCAACTTTACAAAGGTCGAAGATATACCAATAATTAGTCGCATTGTGGAGTCAAAAGCTGACGAAGCTTAAGCTCGACCTAAATTTCCTTGCCGTTTATTTATATTTTTGCAAGTTTCCAACATTATTAAATCAGTAGTAATGTGCCTGTTTCAAAATTTATTGGATATATGACAGCAAGCTAAAGCATTGTTCGATACTTATGCCCACATATCGCTTGTTTACAAAAGCATACACTTGAGTACTGTACTTAATGTTTATAAGTCTGAAATGAGTATTTGAGCAATTAAATATATGTACATATAAAACAATATTTTAGTCGATTATTTTTTTTTGTCTAAATAAAGTCAGGTTTTAATAAATATCACTTCTATTGTGCGGCTTGGTAAGTTTAAGTAGAAATTGCATGGTTATACGAGTAGTAACATGGTGTGTTAAGATCTAGCAATTTTTAATTTGAACCTTAACGGATACACTTAAAAGAATTTTTTTAATCAAAAAAAATTGTTCTTCGTCAAAAAAAGGGATTAGTTTTGTCATGGCATTCAAAAAATAATTAATCTTTAATTTTGCTCCTTTTGATGTTTTCATCCCACGGCCCATTTTAGAATGTTGTATAAAAAATGTTAAAATTGTATGAGGTAAGTAGGTAATAAGGTCTGCACATACAAAATAATAAAAAAAAATTATTTATAATTATAAAAGGTTTTTATAATTTACAAATGAGTTTGGAATTTTTGTAAGTTTTTTTTGTTGTAGTGAACAAATTTGATTTCTATTTTGTGAAAAATATAGAGTGTGCTCCGTTTTCGTGAAAGATGAACCCTGTGTTTCATTGTTAGTATTTGGGGCTGTAAAAATGGCATTTAAGCGCCTATTATCAAATCATGCGACATGAAAAGTCAATTTAAAGAAATTATTTATTATCGGAGACTTGGGAAATTTACTGCTCGCAAAAGTAAAAACATTTTTAGCCGATATTTTAAGTAAGCTCAAAAATGCAAATAGTAATCGGTTTTTGGGTAACTGTTGCCTTTGTTACTTATATTTTCGTAGGTAAGTAATGTACAAAATCGAAGTTCTGATTGGGATAACTGATTTTTATTTACAGGACCAATCAATAATCCAAAAAGAATACTTTGGATAAAGGATCAAGATTCCAATCGGAACTTAGCCTTTTACCTTTATTTATCTAAGCCATCGGATTCTCATAACAGACGTTTTACATATTTAAATTATACTAGGTCAGCTATTCGGTTTCGAAAAATGACTAAAATATCGTTATATAATCCACTTAATCCAAAAAGCACAGTGAGCTTCAGAAACTATTACAAATTCGTAAAATCGAAAATTAGACTAGATATTACATTTAAAAATAGTTTTCGGCAGCTATTTTTGAATACGCTTCTGAGCTGGCGTATTGCTGGATTCACCATATTTCCAGTTTTGAACTATAGTTTTTTAAGGGTAAGTTATGACTAATAACAAAACAGATTATCTTTTAATTTTACATTTTCAATTCAAACAGAAATATTGGAAGAAAGATTTCTTTTATCATTGCTTCACACAGTTTCACACCATAAGCATAAAGAAGTTTGAAAAGGATCATTTAACTAACATTACAAATTTGCAAGCATATCTTAATCAATATATTATTTCAAAACAACATTTTTTTTGCACAAACACTGGAATTAAAATTATTGTGCTATCTTGTCGTATTCAGATTCAAAATAATTTGTCGCGGAGTGGCATTACCCTTTTTATTCTGCAGAGCATATTTAAAATCAAACATATTCAGTGTTTTATACAAATAATAAGTAAGAAAAGTACTTTTAGACGATGCATTACAATAGATTTCATAACTGAATCTTTTCTAAGCACAAGGAACTTACAGTTGAAGATACATTTGAAGAGCCGTGCACGAAGGGTGAGTTTTTACGAATGTGCAATTTTTTGGATAATTGATCATTTAATAAATGTATTCTAAGGTGATATATTCCTCAAAGGCCTATACAGCTATATTAAAAAATACTAACATATTGGACAGTAAAAAAAGGAAATTTATTGCTAAAGAATTAATAAAATCAATCGCGGTCAGGAAAACCGCACAAAAACTTCGAAATCTCTCAAAAAACTTAAGTAAATATGCGTTTTATATTATTAAGCCAATTCTACCGCTGTTAATATTAATTCGAAGACGAAAGTATTTATTAATGAATACGTCTAAAGTTGTAACTCCAAAGACTATAATGGAAAAACCAGAATTTTTTGAATATTTGTCGGCAAATAAAACAAAAGTAATCGTTTCACAAGAACTATTGCAAAAATTTAAATTTGTCCACTTACAAGAGAAACATATATTTAACTTATCAATTCCAATTATTAAAAACGAGAAATTAACTTTTATGCTCACAAACAAATCATTAGGTGAAGCACAATTAAAATTAGTTAACGAGAAAGTTGGCCTTATTATGCAAGTGACATCAGGGTCACCTCATACAATAACAAAATGGCATCTAAGCAAAACTGAACACAAAGAAAATCAACTACAATTAGACACCAATCTTAATATAAAAGGTCAAATCTCGAAGACAATTTATTCACCTATAAATTCAAATAAAGAGATAAATTTACGCAATGTATCCTCAAAATGTGAGTGCTCTTGCCAATTTAAGGTATGCAATGAATCATGCAAATATGAATGCAGATCAAAAACAAGCAACAAGCCATCAACTTATAACGTTTGCGATTGCACCTGTAAAATAGAAATAGAAGAAGACTCTTGTTCCTGCAACTGCAAAACACAACTGCAAAAGCCCAGTTCAGAAAACTGGAAGCATTCGGGATCTGTGCCTCAATCGACGATTTCAAAATTTCAACTTGAACAATCAACTTTTCCTAAGTGCGATTGTACCTGTGAACTTAATATGGGTGATGACTCATGCATCTGCGACTGCATTTTTAGGCTCAGTTCGACTACGATTTCAAAATTTCAACTTGAACAATCAACTTTTCCTAAGTGCGATTGTACCTGTGAACTTAATATGGGTGATGACTCATGCATCTGCGACTGCATTTTTAGGCTCAGTTCGACTACGATTTCAAAATTTCAACTTGAACAATCAACTTTTCCTAAGTGCGATTGTACCTGTGAACTTAATATGGGTGATGACTCATGCATCTGCGACTGCATTTTTAGGCTCAGTTCGACTACGATTTCAAAATTTCAACTTGAACAATCAACTTTTCCTAAGTGCGATTGTACCTGTGAACTTAATATGGGTGATGACTCATGCATCTGCGACTGCATTTTTAGGCCCAGTTCAGAAAACAGGAAGCATTCGGAATCTGTGCCTCAGTCGACTACGATTTCAAATTTCCAACTTGAACAATCAACTTTTCCTAAGTGCGATTGTACCTGTGAACTTAATATAGGTGATGTCTCATGCATCTGCGACTGCATTTTTAGGCCCAGTTCAGAAAACGGGAAGCAATCGGAATCTGTGCCTCAGTCGACTACGATTTCAAAATTCCAACTTGAACAATCAACTTTTCCTAAGTGCGATTGTACCTGTGAACTTAATATGGATGATGACTCATGCATCTGCGACTGCATTTTTAGGCTCAGCACTGCAGAAGCCACAACAAGTGAAACAGCACCTGCATCAAGCAGTTCAGAAAACAGGGAGCTGTCGAGTACTGTGCTTCAATCGACGATTTCAAAATTTCAATTTAAGCAATCCAGCTTTTCTGTGTGTGATTGTACCTGTGAACTTGAAATAGGTAAAGACTCATGCATCTGCGACTGCATTTTTAGGCCCAGCACTTCAGAAGCCGCGACAAGTAAAACAGCAAGTAAATTAAGCAGTTCAGAAAACAGGGAGCTGTCGAGTACTGTGCTTCAATCGACGATTTCGAAATTTCTATTTAAGCAATCCAGTTTTTCTGTGTGTGATTGTACCTGTGAACTTGAAATAGGTAAAGACTCATGCATCTGCGACTGCATTTTTAGGCCCAGCACTTCAGAAGCCTCGACAATTAAAACAGCAAGTGCAGAAAAAAGTTCAGAAAACAGAAAGTTGTCGAGTACTGTGCCTCAATCGACGATTTCAAAATTTCAACTTAAACAATCCAGTTTTTTTGTGTGTGATTGTACCTGTGAACTTGAAATGGGTAAAGACTCATGCATCTGCGACTGCATTTTTCGGCCCAGCACTTTAGAAGCCGCGACAAGTAAAACAGCAAGTAAATTAAGCAGTTCAGAAAACAGGGAGCTGTCGAGTACTGTACTTCAATTGACGATTTCAAAATTTCAATTTAAGCAATCCAGTTTTTCTGTGTGTGATTGTACCTGTGAACTTGAAATAGGTAAAGACTCATGCATCTGCGACTGCATTTTTAGGCCCAGCACTTCAGAAGCCTCGACAATTAAAACAGCAAGTGCAGAAAAAAGTTCAGAAAACAAAAAGTTGTCGAGTACTGTGCCTCAATCGACGATTTCAAAATTTCAACTTAAACAATCCAGTTTTTCTGTGTGTGATTGTACCTGTGAACTTGAAATGGGTAAAGACTCATGCATCTGCGACTGCATTTTTAGGCCCAGCACTTCAGAAGCTAGGACAAGTAAAACAGAAAGTACAGCAAGCAGTTCAGAAAACAGGAAGCTTTCGAGTAATGTGCCTCAATCAATGATTTCCAAATTTCAACTTAAGCAATCCAGTTTTTCTGTGTGTGATTGTACCTGTGAACTTGAAATGGGTAAAGACTCATGCATCTGCGACTGCATTTTTAGGCCCAGCACTTCAGAAGCCGCGACAAGTAAAACAGCAAGTAAGTTAAGCAGTTCCGAAAACATGAGGCTGTCGAGTACGGTGCTCCAATCGACGATTTCAACATTTCAACTTAAACAATCCAGTTTTTCTGTGTGTGATTGTACCTGTGAACTTGAAATGGGTAAAGACTCATGCATCTGCGACTGCATTTTTAGGCCCAGCAATTCAGAAGCCACGACAAGTAAAACAAAAAGTACAGCAAGCAGTTCAGAAAACAGGAAGCTGTCGAGTAATGTGCCTCAACCGACGATTTCCAAATTTCAACTTAAGCAATCCAGTTTTTCTGTGTGTGATTGTACCTGTGCACTTGAAATGGGTAAAGACTCATGCATCTGCGACTGCATTTTTAGGCCCAGCACTTCAGAAGCCACGACAAGTAAAACAGCAAGTAA